AACGGGAATGGATAACAATATTTGAGACGATAACCCTGGTCATCCAGTTGGTATTTGTCGAAGTGTTTTTGGCACACACGTTTATTCAATCAAATAGTTTTAAAGCAAATTTATATGGCAGATTGAACGGCCGAGTCGGGAAGGGACGCCCTAGGAAAAGAGTTTATTGACCTTAAATTGGCGATATTTTGAAAATGGGCCACGTTAGAAGTACCCTTAACCGACGAGCATGTATGCGTAGATGAATATGGATTCATCCAATGTAAAGGAGGCGAAAGAGGTATGTCAGGATACGTGCCAAATGGAATTCCGTAGTCTCTGCAGCTACCCCTCTGGGTGACATGCGTGAGTGTTTATGTATTTATGTATTATGTAATAGTTTTATTCACTTAAATGGTAAAGCTTTTGATGGACCAAGAAGTTCGGAATTCACTCACTGGCACCAAAAATGACAGCCACAAAGTCCTTAGATTATTGTCCTTTTGTAAATTATAAAAGCGATGAGTTTTGTTAGTTGAAGTACAACTAGTACCATTATTTATTCTTTGGTACAACCGACAACACAGTACTTGAGCTATGGTCGTGGACCAAAGCACCAGAGATCTACGCAGCTGCTAATTACTGAGTCCGAAGCAGACAGTCGTTAACAGCGTCGGTGTCGCCAGTAGATGTAGCTAACGTCGATTCGTTCTCGTTAAGTTCTATTGACTGCTTATGAAAGTTAAACTCATTTTGCAGATTAACTTTCGATGCATCTTTGGCAGACTCATAACTTGATGCATCAAACTTGATTTTAAAACACTATAAAAGGCTTTTGGTCGAAGAGAATAAACTTGTTCTGAAGTCATCTGTTTTGTTTGTTTAGCGATATCAGTCTCAACCTTGTTTTTTTCTTGAAACTGTAGGCATGTTGAGCAAATATCAGTTTTTGGTGATCCAAATCCAAGATTAAACTCTGTATTAAATACCTTTCGGAAAAGTGCTTTCGTAGCAATAGGCTGTATATTCCGTTCTTTGTATATCTTATACAGCTAACTAATATTTAATTCTGCGGGTAAAATAATGACGAACAGACGTGGTACTGATGATGGTGGTTCTGAGCAATTTGATGACTAGCGATATTCTCTATGAGTTTTGTCACCATTGGTTTTGTAAATAATATATGTGTTTAAGATAGTAATGTTGATCGATCTTCGAAACACTTTCTGGTACCATTTCAAGACACGTTTTCGTTCCAATAAGTACATGGAAAGTTTTTGATCCTTAGAATCAACCACACCCATGTGCTTATTGTAACTGTGGACCGCAACAGGCTTATTGCATGCAACACTGCTCGTTGCCCTGGTGCCATGTCAATATTGTGATGAGTATTGAGCATTGTCACTAATTTAACGACCTTCCAGGCTAAGAAGGTTATATCTCCGCAGTGCCGACCGACCATGTCTCCTCGCTTCATGTTACGTTCAATCAGACCTCTTATAACAGGGGGATTTCCTGTACGCCGTCGATTCAGGGAGTCCAACACATCAGTGCCTTGCTTTTTTAAGAACCGCGTCAGTTCTATACTGTTGTAATTAGCGTTGCCAGGTCCGATTTGTTTTAAGACGGTATATGAGGTCAAACAAATCGGGATTTAGAGTGGCAGATCGGGACAAACAAAAAAAAAACAAGATGTTTTTTAATACGGGTTTAATTTATTGCGTTTCGAACTACTAGTGCAAGTATAATATTATATTACCTAAATTAAATATGTATTTAATCTTACATTACAAGTAATCAGTCTTGCTGGCCTAGTAGAAATTTTAAAATAAAATCGTATTTTAAGTGTAATTGATGCACTGCAGAAGAATAAAGTAAGTATTTATGTAAGTTATTTGTTTTTTATTAAAATTATATTTTTAATCGCCTTGTTTTATATAAAATTTATTGCAAGTCATCTTAAAGTTAGTTTTCATTGGAATTTGTGCTTTCACATGCCCGAGTGTAAAACGGTTTCACCTCTCAGAGCAAATTAAGTGAGCCTGGGAAAATACCCTTTCTGTTGTTGCGTTTAATACTGGAATTGAAGCCATAAAAGAAAATAATTTTTTTAGATTTACTATGTCTTAATTGTCTTTAAAATTGTTGTGCCATTTTCCTAGCGGCGTTTAGTCTTAGTATTGCACTGCTGTCTTCACTAATTCTTTGATTTTACATATTTACTTCTTCATAAAGTTGATTCATTTCGAAAAACGTATCAATTTTTAGATTTTCAATAATGTTAACCATTGAAGTGTAAGTAAATGAATCATTCTGTAGAGAAAATGGTTTTAATAAGTCCAATCTGTTATCCTTGAGATCATATTTAGTTTATAAGTAATGAATAACATATTTGTACCACGCACAACAGTAATATACCATATCCATAAACACTCACGCCTGTCACCCAGAGGGGTAGGCAGAGACTACAGATTTCCATTTGGCACGATCCTGACACAGCTCTCTCGCCTCCTTCACATCCATACACCTACGCATACATGCTCGTCGGTTAAGGGTACTCCTAATTTGGCCCGTTTCCAATAAATCGCCAATTTGGCAATGTTTTCAAAAGGAAGGATAGGCCCATCTAAATATTTTACTCATTACGTTTTCATACAAGAAAAAGTAGCGCATCTGTCATAATACAAACGTCATATCATAACACGACGTAACCAGGGTCGGATTTCGTAGTATAATTATCCTAACTGTACCATTATTTCATAGTTTGTAGTATATAGTATCGTAATAATACTATGCGCAAATACCATCATTTTACCTAAAGATCGACTTGTATTATTATTGCGTCCTTCTACTTTTTAATATTAACCCTACGATATCGAGAATTTATGTATTGTACATGAGTACCGCGTTTTTTAAATAAAATTAGAATTAGCTCCTTTTCTGGTTCATCGGTGCTCGATTGATGCATTTATGTTGCATCCTTGATACAACTATAATGAGGAACTAAATACGATGAAAACTCTATGCTCCAGAAGCAATCGGTTTGAAAACAGTATTCCAAAATATTTTTTGAAAATTCAAACAGATTTTCAGATTCAATTAAGCAGATATGGTTTATTTTATACTCTTTTCGTTTTACCCTTATTGAATATAAAATATATTAATAAAAATAAAAATAAAACCGTCAAAAACGAAACGTATAGATAAACTAGACGCATGACGCCAAAATCCCACCACATGGAAAAAAAGAAACATGATACGTCAAACGTGATATAATTTTTTTTTTTAAATAGTATTATTTTATTTTTCATGTACAATATTTTTGAGGTTCTGAATCCAACCCTTGCCTAATATTGGTAACGTAACTAAACTAACTGTAATATAAAACTTTAAAAATGCGTTCATATAGCAATTTAATTGTAACAAAATTAATACAGGGTTATTAACCGATGATGCGATATCCCATGTTCTTTTTTTAATCTTCGTATCGTAATTTTTGCATTCTTTTACCACGCAGCTTGACATATTTATGACAGACAAATCTGTCCTGCGCGCGCACTATTGTCGACCGATTCGCGTTGGCCCTAAACTGTAATTTTAGGGCCAGCGCACTGGTACGTTTTAGTTGTTTGGTCGGCCCGGTCCTTACGCTAGTAATATATAAGTCAATGCAATTTGGTCGATAAATTTTCGCCTAGGACGTCCCTTTGCGACTCTGCCATTCACTTCTGCAACATAAATTTTCTTTGTCACTCTTTCCTCATTCATTCTTTCCACATGACCAAACCACCGAAGCATTCCTTTCTTAATCCTGGTCACAACATCATCTTGCAAACCACACTCTTCTCTTATTACACAATTTCTTACCCTGTCATTCAGATTCAGCCCTAACATACTCCTTAACGACCGCATTTCTACTGCGTTTATTCTACTCTCGTGATTCTTCTGCCACACCCAACTTTCACTACCATACGTTAAAGTAGGGACCAACACAGCATTGTGAATTGCCATACGTGCAGTAGTATACATTTTTTATAAAACATTTTTTTCCCTTTTTTTGATTTATCGGGACATTTAAGGTCCCGATCAGGTACGAATCGGGACGCGTCCCCAGACTCATGAAAATCGGGACGTCCCGCGCAAATCGGGACACCTGGCGACACTAGTTGTAATAATTGTCCATTACTAAACAGTGGCTTCTGTTGAGATAATCAGTAACCAATTCTATAACAACTTTGCTTGTGGCTCCTGTTAATCCATGCATTACTGGTGTTTGTGCTGACTGTCTTGTGTTTTTTCCAGTATATATTAACATTTTTAGTAAATCGCCTGATCCCGATTTACAAATTTCGTAGCTTTTTATTCCAAAGCGAGCTGCTTTTCTGCGGATACATTGAACCCAAGATAGTAAGCCTTTCCGTAATAATAATGATTCATCAAGGCTTAAACGCCGTTTTGGAACGTGCATTTCCATGAATTTTCTATTACAATGTTCGAAAATTGGGGCTATTTTAAGGAGCTTTGCGGTCATATCCGTGAGACGTCACATCAAGATCATCATTATTAACAAAATGTAAAAACCGCAATATAAGTATAAAACGATTTTTGGACATTATTTGCCGAAAATGGGGCATTTACAAAGTATCTGTTGTCCAATATTCATCTATGCTTCATTTATAACATAAACTCATGGAAATTAAAACAGAAAAAAAGACGTAAAGTTCTTCCACAGTTACTTAAACCCAGTCACTTAAACGTGAATTTGGCTTTAATGCACCCTCAACTTCACTAAGACGCGCAATAGTCTGCCAAGAATATTCATTTGTTTGATGCACTATTACTTGCATAATGTTGTTATCCCACATGGTTTTAAACCTTTAAGGGGCAGAAGCTCCTGGCTGGGGAAATGAAAAAATAACACTTGTATGTGAAAAAAGTATTTTTTTTTATTAAATTTAACATAAATTTTTTATTTTTTTTTTTTTAAAAAATCGTGGTGTCGACATATTCGACACTGCCCTTCAGGGTGTATGGAACTGAGCAAAGCATGGTACAATGCACAATGGAACTTGGCATTTTGTGCACTGTATTTTGGATGTTTTGTTAAGGTTTTTGCTGCTGCATGCTCTGCACCTTCTGTATTTGGGTAGCTCCATTGGCATGTGAGACCCCACATCATTCAACCTCAGTTCATCAGGTATTCCGTGAATGGCCTTCTGTCTACTTGTTGGCCCTTTTGGTTTTTTAGTTACAAAGTTGGGCGATTGTGCCACAGTCCTTTTCCTGGAGCTGAAGTTGTCTATCAGGTTACGTGCGAGCACGGTGCGGAAATGCAAGGAGGTCATAGGGTTGTGCACTCTGTCATTTTGGGTGTATATTATATAGGCATTTGTAATGGCAGAATCAACCAAAAAGTAAAATATTCGCATCCACCATCTCTTACTACGTCTTGAGATGGAGTATGTACCTCTCTTCTGGTCAAATCTATCAACTCCTCCCATTCTTTTGGTATACTCCAGGATTCCTATGGGACAAGAAACGTCAGACTTCGAACCATCCTTCTGCGTTCTTCTACATGTTGTTTTCTGACGGGGATGATAAGCAGTACTCAATACATATACCAATTTAGTATCTTTCCATACAAAAAATGCGACGTTCTGGTTGACTCGCCATTTGTACTCTCCTTTAGCCAGTACCAGAGGAGGCGGTTTAGGTTCATCTTTCTTTTTTTTTGGTTTTTTATAAGTTTGGGCAAGTTTGTACGATCTGCGCGTACAGTTGCAGTTGCATAAATATTATTATCAAATAGGTACTGCAATAGCTCATGGGACGCAAAAAAATTATCAAAAGCGATGTGAGTATTCTCAACCTTTTCATCAATAAGATTTTTTGATAGTTCTCTTACCACACTGGCTCCTAATCCAACCTCTGTAGTGGCGTCATCTTTTTTTCCAGTATAAATCTCGAACTGATACAAATATCCAGTCAGACTGTCACAGCGCGACCACACTTTGAAACCCCGTTTTACTGGTTTTTTTTGGCATATACTGCTTCAGAGTGCTACGCCCTTTGAATTTAATCATGCACTCATCTATGCTTTGCGATGATGAGCACACTCCACCACTTTGGAAAATTGTAAAGTTTATCATACCCTTCTTCACCTCTCTTGGGCATTTGACTGTTGTCGTTTAGGTGTAAATTTGCCAAAATCTTTTTAAATCTCTTCACTGTCATAACATTAGCAATCTCTGCCACACGGAACATAGGATCGGAAGACCAGTAGAGAGATATATTTGGAAGTACGTGAATGCCCATAAGTATCAAAATACCAAAAAAAGCTTTTAGCTCCTGCAATGTTACAATATCCCAATCTTTCTGTCGGTTTTGGGCTGCGTATAAATTTGTCTGATCAACTATGTTCAATAGGACTTCATCATTCAAAAAAACATTGAAATATGTCCGAGGAGAACTTCGATTAGGAAAAAACTGTGATGGTCGCAGTAAAATTTCATCAAATTTCTCAGTAGGCGGGATGTGTGGAAATTGCACTTTTTTCCACTCTTCATCGCCATCATCTTCCGAGTTATTTTCTGAACTGTCTTCCGAGTTATCCGTGTCATCAGCTTGTGTAACTACAGGTGTAACAGGTCTTGTGATTGAAGACATTCTAGAATTAGAGGGAGTAGGTTGAGTACTACCTGTAATACTATCATGTGTGGCAGATATATCCATATTAGAAGATGACGGAAGAATCGAAACTGTTGATGTTGTTGGCTGTGATTCATTCAGACCAGATCCAAATAAAATATCTAAGTTCTGTACTGGTAAATGATGAGAAAACTGCTTCATTCTCGTCTTCATTACTCTCATTGTCGTCTTCGGAGTTTTCGCCGTCCGACAAAGCAAATAAGTCTGCGAGAGTATCTTCCAACTTCTCTAATGGGATCACCTATAATAAGGAAATATTAAATTATACTACCTAATATTTAATTGTAAGAATTCTATACAATTACAATATAAATCCTAGCCCAGCCCTGGGCGGGCAGTGTCGAATATATCGACGTCATAATTTTTCGTTGAATATGTATGTAAAAACGTAATATATTCTGAAATACTGAGTAAGCTGCAATATTTATAATATTTAGAACAAATCATAAAAGAAAACTTACCTTTTTACTCATTTTTCGCGAAGTTGTTCTTGGATGAAATTTGCACTTCAGAAAACAGCCAAATAATGACATAAGATGTCATCAGCTGTCAATGTCAGCCATACTTTTTTTTTTCTTTTTGCGTTTCGTTTTTGCTATGACCTGTCCGAATCGAATACAGACTATCGCAGTACCAAACTGCTAGCAGTTTAAAAATAAATCAATAAAAAGTATGGTGTCGAATATATCGACAGAGCCCCATAAAGGGTTAAATAACTCTAAAGGATCGGTAGATGATACTGTAGGTCCTGATTGTTCGGTAAATGATTCCAATACACCTGTAAATGTTTGGAAATCATCAGACCAAGAAAAATCATCCACGTTGCTTGGTGTAATTTCTTCGTGGTCGTCGTTGATGTCTTCTGATTCCAATATTTGTCTAAGAGTATCCTCAGTGATGTCTTCATCGTCGCTTATTTCACTACCAGAGTCAATTGCCAAAGCATCACCAAGGTATGAAGGAAAGATTTGGTCATCTGGATCATTAGCTTAAAACATTATTTGGTTGTTATTATTATTACTACGATAGTTTACAAAACAAAAATTCTATAAAAAGAAATTTACTTTTGTCTGTTGCAAACAGGTAGGTTTGGAATGTACTGTAGGCGAATTTTGCGACAGATCCTGCTCCTTCAATAAGATTGGTGTACCAACAGAAGTGTTGTCGATATCTTCATTCTGAAAATATAATATTTTTTATAATCTTAAATACACATCTACCTACTTATTAGAAACTAGTGATTTGTTAGATATAATTTCTTTTTGCCATTAAAAACAGCGTGACCAACTTCAATCACCGCTGTTTCGAGCAAATCTGAGCAATAAAACCCTTAGGTATTTTGTCATGAAACTTATGAGACCACCTGGTACCCTTAGTACCCTTTCAAACAAAAAGGAATTTTCCAATTTGGCTCAGAAGGCGTCTTCGAGTAATCGTGGAACATACAAATAAAAAAAACACCACAAAATTTTCAAAATATTTTAAATAGAAATTTAACGTCTTACGAAGGAAGATTCGGGGTTGTCTTGCCCTTGAGTATAATTTAATCGCTGCTTTTGTTTTTCTCCAGTTTCAGCAACAGAAGTCTTCATAATATCGTTGATTCTTAACGCTCTTAGACATCCTGACTCGGTTCTTTTCAATAAAACTCTTTCATCAGATAAAATTTAAAGTATTCCGCTTGGAGATTTATTGATTACCAGAGCTGGTATAATATTGAGATGTAGAAAAGTTTTCTTCCTTGTCCATATAGTTAAACAATTAATACTTATAAATGGTAATTAAAATACTTGACTTTCAATTATCTTCAATTTTAAGTACTTTGAATCAGATTTTCATACTGATATTCCTACGAAAAATAGATTAATTTTGTAAAAAAAAAATATGATAGGCAAAGTCTATGATAGTATGTTATTGTAATTTTTTCGTATATATCTATGTAGTATGTACAGCAAATAAATTTAAACTACATTAGACTACAGAAGACATAAAAAACATTGAGCGTAGATTTACGTTCTGGCAATAATAACAATAAAAAATGGAAACAGCCTGTATACGCGCCATTTATATGGCGCTTTCGCAACAAAAACAAAAGCGTATTTTATAACATAACAAAAGATCGGTTAGACACGGCTCAGGTAGTAATCACACTCAGAGAGGTATAAACCAAAATATGTAAAATAATCTGTAAAAGCGACACAAATAAATGCATAAATCGAAGTTGAAAATACAGCCGTTTGTTCACAAGGTACTGAATGTATGAAATCAACTGATTTTATGATAGTTTTCCCATTTTTTTCATTATTGTATAAAATAATCACATATTTATACGTAAACGTAAAGATATACTCACTTTCTTAGCTTCTTTTAAATAAAAACAACACAGTGAAAAGAGTTTTTGTTTGCCGTTACACGTCCGAACGAGTAGTGACTTCATTGGCACATTTGAATATATTTCATTCCTAACTGAACTGAGTGAACTGATGTTTTCGATTCTTTCGTTCCTTTTCTTATTCGTACAGATGTTTGTAAGACAATAAAGACCTTATATACTTACATTTAGCCTTTTTTTCGGACGCAGTCAACGTTGCGCATGTCTGCGCTCAGGCTGTTAAAATAAGATAATATTTACGCGCAGTTCTACGTTCCGGCAAACAAAGGGTTAAGTATAACTATATAGTTCCAATTGATTTCTTTTTTCTCTTTATTAAGAAAGGTTTTTTACTTTCAAAGTGGTTGCGCACTAATTTAATCATCTTAATCAATGCTTGGATCTAAACATACAGCCACGTTGTGTTCTGCAGTAGGATGTTTAGACGTTGTTTTTAACTTCGATGGATTTTTTATTTGGCACCCTAATAACTACTCCATGTACGATAAATTTGTTGGATGAACATCAAAGGTCAAAAGACACAACTTTTATCCCAGAATCTTCGCATTTTGTTAAACAAATTTTTCGTTCTTCTCTGTCTTCAGGGTTATCAAAGCGAAGGCATGTTAAAAAGTATGTAAAATCGTAAAGAAGATATGCTTAGCCGGAAAACTTCCCTTCCAGTTCCGTCCGTCGCAGATAACGATAAAATAGCTTCATGGTTGGATTTGAACACGGCAGAATATGTCAAAAGACCTAAGAAACAATCCAGTTCTTCTTTAGAACATTCTCTCAATTCAGTACGATCAGGAGATTTGTATTTCATCTTCATATCAACCCATCCAAATCAAAACGCCAAAGAAGTGTTTTAATTCATGGCAGTCTGTAGGCACCCGTTTCAGCATTCTGTAAGACTGTTGCAATCTTGTCCAAGGTTTGTGCTGCAAAACGATTTGTTTGAAAAAAAATCATTTGTTATATTTTTGGCGTTATATTGTCTGATTTCTGAAGTTTTAGTAGGAATCATTTGTTCATCTTTCTGTGAGTACTGTTCCCCTGATCTGATTAAAATAATTGTATTTAATAGAGGAATTTGAAATGGGTTAAATGGAGTAATATTTAATGGAGGTCATATAGCTCCAATTTCAATATTAGGTGATAAACTTCTATGAAAAAAAAGCTAAAAAAAAAGATAAAAAATAATACTTCAGAAATAATAAAAAGAATTATTCCTCATCCTTTTGAAACTAAAATAGTATGTTTACCTTGTAATGTTCCTTCACGACACCTCACACCAACCTCTTTCGACACTTTTAGCAGCTTTTCGCGAAATATGTTTAAAAGGGATCGTCATTTTTTGAAGTTTAGCGAAGCGTGGGTCATTTGGTTTTAATTCATTACTTTTATAAAAAAAAAGTGTAAACATTTTTTTTAATCTCTTTGAAATTATTGCAATAATATCATGTAGATAATAATAGATATATGTAGATGAAAGATTATAAATAAAAAATAAAACAATCGCAATGCGTTTTATTCAATCCATATATAAACGGGAAATAAATAATCGAGTTTTACATAAAGAACAGTAAAAATGAGTCTTAAAACTATTTGGCACGTCGTGTGGAAACAAATAATCCACAATTTTCATAGTTTTAAAATTAACACATATATTTTTCACACACACCTCACACATGGGAACAATGGGGAATGTATATTCAGGATAGTAAATAGTCACATCAATTTTTAAAATTCCCTGATTACTGGTTAAATAATAATCATGATCCAACAAAGAAAAAAGCTTTTCTTTTGGAATAAAATTGTTAACACGGATGGATGACGTCGAGGACTCACTACCAGGGGTCCAGGTTGAGGTTGAGGTTGTGGTTGTGGACGGGGTTGAGGTAGTTGCGGTCTTTCTATAGGCGTTGGTCGTCTGTCTTCTATCGTCGTGTTTACGTTACCTGCACTATATGACAATATTGATTAATTATAAATTTACATTATATATTTCATAAGTAATTAGTATTGCCATACCTACTCTACTGCTGGTGCTCCGGCTAGTGTATATTTGTTATTCCATTTGTACTTGTCTATAGCTAAGCCAGAGAATAGCGTATTTGGTTGTGCCTTGTTGTATTTTCCCATCAGCAAGTTTGTTCCGTGAGATATGCATTCAATTTCTATGTTTGTTTCTACCATTATGTTTAATATTGCATCTTCTAGACTCCCGTCTTTGTTTAATAACGGTATTATTCCCACTCCTATGCTTCCCATGAAATCTTTTTGAGCGTTCGTGTACAGTCTTCCTATTGTTAGATTGTCCACTGTCGCTTCTTCATATTTCTTTGTGTTTGTTTTTACACATGATACGCTTCTTACTCCTGCGTTTCCCGTGTGTAATAGAATCGACATTGGCTCGATTCGAATTATGTAATCTGCGTTTTCGAATCCGTCGTTGTCTATGTGAAATGTTCCGTCTTGGGGTTTGTATGTTTTTTCAAATATCGGTCCTATAGAGTCTGTCGCATTGAATAATATCGTAGATTCCATTATTAAAGGTGGTAGTAAAAAGTGTTTATTTACAGAGTTTAAATTGAATCTGTATGCTATTTTGTTGTCTATCAATTTTGCTTGAGCCGTACTGTGATCGGGGGCTTGATCTGCTCCCGCTCCGTAGCCTTCCAAAGTTTTTCCATATAGTGTTTCAGCCATAATGTTTGTGCCCATCTTTACTGGTGCTAGGCATTCCATGTTTTCCCATATTCCGATTGTTGTTTGTGAATTTACTTTTGCATAGTTTACTGATGATGTCGAAGTTAGGAACGGAGTTCTGTTTCCTAGGTTTGTGATTTTTATTCCCACCTGAGTAACCTTTGATGTATGAAACACTTGTGTCATGTCATCGTATTCTTTTTCTGTTATATAAAAGTATATTTTTTGCCACGGTAGACTGTGTATATACGTGTTGTATACTAGTTCAGTGGCCGATTTCGTGTAACTTGCCTTTGTTGATGGTATAGCAAATGTAAATTTCTTTTTGAATTGAAATTTATGTATATTATTGTGATTTTGTACTCCGTTTCCAATCACTGAACTCACGTTTGCCGGTACTTCCATGTTTCCACTTTCTGCTTCTGATGCTCCTGCAATCAGTGGATATATTATTCCTGTATATTTTTCTAATATGTGTTTTGCTTCTATTCCTTCGTATGCTAACCACTGTGCTACTCTGTCGACTGTCGTATCCGAAGCAAATGTGGCTACTTCTTCTACAAATTCAAGATCCGCTTCCTGAATATCTTGTTCAAATTTTTTCCTATTTTTTGTTTTCTTGTAATATTCTGTAATCTTGTGGTATTTTTCGTCGTGTTTTTTTGCTGCTGCGTCCAATGCGTTCACTGGTACTCCTCGATTTAATGGATTTCCGGGTCCCAGGTATTTGTATCCGGGAAATATTATTCCACTTCTACTCGGACCCTGTTGATCTGGCGGCTGCTGCGACATGAATGAGCTTTCTATATTGATTTTCCATTTTATATTCAATGTATGGCGTGAAATCTCTTCACCACCAACTTGGGTTGTATGTTTGGTTCTGTTATGTTGTTTGGTACAATGACTCATGTTAAATATTGAATCATGTTTCATCATCTTTATACATGTTTGAACATGTATGAACATGTATCAACCTAGTAGTAGAATCGTGTAACCTAACCTAACCTAACCTTTTTTTTTACGGGGGGAAATCCTCATGGACTGCCTCTGCCTGGGGAAAGGCGGAGGGGTGTGCCGGACTCTTACCGGCTAAAACCACCCCGGTGTCTCCTCGCACGTGCACGCGAGGGGCCGCGGGAATTCAAATTCTTCCGCAGCCCCACACTAGTGCTGGCCCGGTCTGTACGGGCCTCGTCTCCTGCACGGGGTAGTGAGGTGTTCAACTACCCCGTGTTTCACCTCAGAGGCGCGCGCCGACACCCGCGCGTGCCTCCGCCTCGGGTCCATCGAATAGGGGGGGCGGGGGCTTCCCCCTAGTCCTAGTCCTAGACCAGCGCTGTCACGTCCCCAATACAACACACACACACGCACACACACCACACACACACACACACACACACACACACACACACACACACACACACACACAGCACACACGCACGCACACATTTTTTTCATAGTTTATATCTTACGGATTAAGTTGATCACTATCTGTATTATGGCTATGGAAGAGCGGGATCTTCTGGCACAGGTGTTTTTACACTTAAAAGAAGATTTCCACAATCTCAAGATCATTGTAAAAACATTTTTAGTTGATCAATAAAGATTTATTATTATTATTGGGGGTTATTATTATTATTCTGGTAGTTTTTCTGTTCAAACATCGTTAGATGAAGTTCGTGTCGAACGTTCGTTCGCATTTTGGTGAAATTTAAGCATATAACATAAACATAAACACTCACGCTTGTCACCCAGAGGGGTAGGCAGAGACTACAGACTTCCATTTGACACGATCCTGACAAACCTCTCTCGCCTCCTTCACATCCATATACCTACGCATACATGCTCGTCGGTTAAGGGTACTCCTAATTTGGCCCGTTTTCAATAAATCGCTAATTTCGTCGATACATTTTCACCTAGGATGTCCCTTTCCGACTCTGCCATTCACTTCTGCAACATAAATTTTCTTTGTCACTCTTTCCTCATTGATCTTTCTTAATCCTGGTCACAACATCATCTTGCAAACCACATTCTTCTCTTATCACACGATTTCTCACCCTTTCATTCAGATTCAGCCCTAACATACTCCTTAACGACCGCATTTCTACTGCGTTTATTCTACTCTCGTGCTTCTTCTGCCACACCCAACTTTCACTACCATACGTTAAAGTAAGGACCAACACAGCACTGTGAATTGCCATACATGCCTTTTTTGACATGAAATTTAAGCGATGATAAATAAACTTTGTATATATTATTACTACGAGAGTAACGAGATTGTTCTGTAGGGAAGCTTGATATATGTAATTTTATGGAATATAATGGAATAATTTTTATTCAATATAGATTACAAAAATACTTATTGAAACTGATTTAAGCTTTGGCTGGTTCGGAAAAAAATCTCTGTCCTGGAAAGAACCAGCAAGAAACTCGGCGGGACTTTTAAAAAAAATTCTATATTTTATTTTATACAATAAGTATGAAAACATTTAGAAACAGCATGGTAGTCCCAGAGCTTATTATCAATTATGTGCTCTTTAGTAGTATAATATTATAATAAATATCCTTATTAAGGAATTATTAATAAGAATTTTCTTCATTTGTAATGGCAGAAACTCAGATACATATATGGGCATACGCGTCTTTTTTGAATTCTGTATTCAGTTTGTCGTGTTTGTTCTTGGACTTTTTGTTGAAATTCCTCGAGCTGGATATAAAGCCTCGCTTAACGTTGACATTTGCGAATTCTGCCAGAATTGGTTTTGGTACACCCTGTTTTCCGGGCATCCGTCGCAAATCCCTGAGGTCTGCTGGATTCGTCGATTATTTTCCCAATTCCAGTAACAACAGATACTAGGTCGTCAAGTGTTTCATTGTCTTTAACGGGGACATTTCTGATCTCTATAGTGGAGCTACGGGAACAAAGTTGTAGATATTTGATGGTATTTTCAAGTGCCTTGACTTTCTCCGTTAGGTAAGAATTTCCCTTTTCCAGGTCGAGGACCTTTTTTGACATATCATCATATTGTGCACTAACAAATTTTACCGATTTTTCTACCTCAAGAAAGGATTTTTTCAATTCAGAGTTTTGTGTTTTCAGCTCATTTACCTCGGGCACCAATTTGTTCAAGATGGTAGACTGTTGTTGTTCTATTTTTTTCAGATAATATACGTGTTTCAATGTTGTTCCAAGACGCGAACATAGCTTCGATTTCTCGTTTTAGTTCTTCCTTAAAATTATGTAATTCATTGATGGGGGAAGCTTCACACCTTGGGCGCTTATTACGTGGATTCACATTAATGTTCTCCTTAGCCGTATTGCTCATTACAGCGATATTTGCATCTGTTTGGGATTGCATTAACGTAGTCGGTGTAGTGCGCGGTGTACGCTGTTTTGGACATAGTGATGTAGGTACACTGGCTATAACGTCACTACACACTGTGCACGAACATAATAAACTAACAAGACACCGAGCTGTCACGCTAAAGTCCAATAACGTGAGATCAACGTCGTTGGACAGTGCGTGGCAGCAATGACCAACGACCGTAGACACGATATAAGCGTATAATACTCGTAAGGCAGTGGTCTTAGATGCGCAACTTGCAAGTACACGACTGTTCACTACGGCGTACCGAGCCGAACTCAAACCACACTCTTCTCTTATCACACAATTTCTCACACTATCATTCACATTCAGCCCTAACATACTCCTAAACGACCGCATTTCTACTGCGTTCGTTCTACTCTCGTGCTTCTTCTGCCACACCCAACTTTCACTACCATACGTTAAAGTAGGGACCAACACAGCACAGAATTGCCATATATATGACTTTTTTGACACATTCGGAATTTTCACAATAGAGTGTAGGGCCCCATTTATTCTATTTCCTGCATTCACTCGTCGTTCTGTATCCTTATCACATCTCTCATCCCTGCTAAAACTAGATTTAGTCTCCCCCAATCCGAGACTTTCTTCAGCAAAGTCTCGACTTCAGACAAGTTTGTCCCGGCACTCGGAGACGTTTTCCCGAAATGGTGTACTTACCCTGGGTCGATGCTCAAGACCACAAAGCTCTGGATGTTAGCCTTAAGAAGAGAGCCTTTAACCAAGCCGCCAAGTCTTGCAAAAAGGGTTACGGTAAACTAGTTTCAACCGTAGTACAAGGCTCTATGTCAAACCATCTGGCAGTAGAGCTTTTTGGTCTCTTGCCAAAACGGTCGAGACAAGCTTCTGTCGGTCTACACTACCTCCTAAAGCACTTTGATGCGTGAAAGCATTTCTTCAAAAGAAAGCTTGGTTGTTACCTTGCGATTTTTAGCTACCGGTTCTAATACGTAGAAAATCAACAACAACTCTGCAAAGCGCTTAAACAACTTGAGTTGTTAAATTTTTATTATAAATAAATAACTATTTAATTATTTGTTGTATAAATTATTATTCCTCACTACTAATATATCATCAATAATTCTATCCTTTAAGGACATTCTGAGATTATTTACAACAAATTTAAAGGATGAAAATAATCTTTCTACACTCACTTGTGTCGGAGGAGTGGCTAAAGCTACATTTGACAACAAATAAAGCTGTGGGTTAGGAAGTTTTCTGTCTTCCCAATAAGTAAGTATATTTGTATTTGACGGCAATCTCTGTTGGTTTAAAAAAGATATTATACCATTAGAAAGCTGGAATCTTAGATCGTTGTCGATTCCTTGTTCGCTGTCACACGATCGTCTTTGGTTAAATTGAGATTCTAAAAAAATATCTACATCACTTGATGATGAAGTTGAAGGCCGAGGTTCATTAATCTGAGGTGTGGTAGGCCCTGTTGATGTTGATGATAACTGCTGTACTCTGTAATAGGTTCGTTTAAGATTATTCTGAGCGACTTCGTTTTGTTCATCAGTTAAAATTGCGTTTACTCTCGGATCTAAGTAAACAGCATTTAAAAAGCAATCATTTTCGAAAAGAGCTGCCTGCCTCTGTCTCATACAGATCCCCAATAATGAAGCAAATGGATTATTATTGGTGGAGCCACGTGTTTAAGGCTGCCGAAGTCTAGTTCCCCGGTCGAACCTTAAACCTATTGCGCGAATTATTAATCTAAGTGGACTGTATCTACTAATGCTTCTACACTTGTATATGCGGTACAATGCACTCGCTCTTCCCAAAAACCGAACTGTTATGCCAAATCGATGAAGGGAATCCTGCTTGATTAGGAAAACACAAAATTGGAGCGGGTTAAAACTACTATATCAAGCAGGAAAATACTATTAGGAAAATGTTGACTCACCGGGATGTTTCTTCTGTGCGGTCGAGCACTATAACTGCGACTTCTGGAACACTCCGGAGAGAGGCGGTGCGCGACTATATCTCACACGAGGCGAGGCGGGTTTCCTGGAGCTCGACTGCTTCCAGGCTAAAGCGGTTTCTACTAGATGTGTTTCCAACAACGAGCGCGGCGGGAAGAGGCCACGCGTCGGTCGCGCGTGTCTTATATATCCTCGGTTCCGATGATTACGTGATGTTCTAGAATCATCTTCTTTCCCCTCCCACCCCACCACCCCGATGTGTCGATAGGAGGGTACGAATGATACGTTTTTGGAAAGGGATAACCGATTTGGCAGCCTACCGTTAAATAAAATAAATACGAATGGTTTTCCGCGCAACCAATTATTTTTTTCTATTTCGAGCATACATCGAATCTATGCTATGTAAAAACAACCAAAGGTTAATTGCTCCTGCTGCAGGGACTTTGAAAGTTTCCTACAAGGTACAAGACATTTCAATATATTTTCAATTTCGGTCCAGGTATCCTCTTGAATATTAGTTTGAAGCGGATTATTTTGACAAAAAATCTTTAAATTTAATAATCTTTCCGACATGTCGGTTGTGGAATCCCATCTCGTTGGGCAATCTATAATGGGCTGCAGAAAGTTATTTTCTCGCTACTGGAGAGCATAATTCGGCGTCCTCAAAGTTCTTACAACACGTCTACACTGATCAAGAAGGTCTACGTGCTCATTTAAGGCATCTCGAACGGCAAGTTGCAGCGTGTGTGCCGCACATCGAACTGCAGTGACTAGGGATAATCTCGGAGCTGACCAGGTCAAACTGTAAGTTGTCGATCAAGTTTTGATAATAGTCAGTATCGTCGACATCGGTCTCATCTTCGAGACTCTCAAAGATTTCTGGGGCTTCACGTATCCTCTCATCAATTTTTTTTACCATGCTCAGCATATTGGCTCCATTGTCAGTTGTGATTGAATTTAACTGCTTAATTTCAATGCCAAAACGACTCAACATGAAAGTTACACAGTCTTTAAGAAACTCAGCCGTATTTCTTTGATGTAATTCCATTATGCCAACGTTTCGTAACACAATTTTGCCTTCACGTATGTATTGAATATTCAGCCCAAGAAATTGTCTCGATTTTAGAGATGAGACATCAACCTTTAATGCTATAAGTTTATTCTTTACCTCATCACAAATATTTTTTCGGAGCATGTGGGCTTTTTCTTCAATGGATAATTTAATGCGTTTTATATTTGTAGAGTTAATTGGGGTTCCTGACATACCTGGTATTAAGTTGAGTAATTTTTGAAAAGCTTCGTCTTCTATAAGTGCAAAAGGTCTTCCATGTACCGCTACTAAATCAGTGCAGTTATCTATAACACTCAAGACGATATTTTGGTTGTCAGTTAAATTTGGATTCGAATTTTCTTTGTCGCCGTGGTTAAGTTTTTTTTTGACCGATGCTGATTATAAAAATGACGTGGAAGATTGGCGCCATGGTGACCCTAGAACACAAAATAACATAGTAAGTAAGAAATTATATATTTTTAAATAAATATCAATCATGATGTTACATACAGACAGCAACACATTAGATTATAAGAACAGTCAATTCATAAATTAATTAGGCTTCATATTTCGACGTATGGCTCATCATAACTACTTGACATTTTTTCCCAGTTTTATTTCACCTGATGTGGTGCTGCCTGCCTTCTATAGATCTTCATTCTAACAACTTCAACTATGTATGAAATACCTACAGGTGAGTATAGACACAGAGCATTTACTTGTAACAGAACAACGAGCCGCTCTATGATATGTTATAGTGTATCATCCTTCACGAACCAGACGTCGAGCCAGACGTCATGAAAATAGTTAAAATGAGTTAAGTTATTCTCATGGAAACGGGTCAAAAATGTCAAAATATGGAAAAAAAATGGACATTCCATACAAAAATGAATCAACTGAAGCTAGCTATAACGAGATATCGAGTTTTATTTCATACGTTCATCCATATTTCTATTGGGAAATTGTTCATACTAATAAGTAGGTATTTGTTAAAATAATAAATTAGTATAATTTAGTGATGAAGAGTTCTTTGGCTTACTATAATGGAAATATTATCAATGACTTACCTTTAATATTTGTCCACAATTACTCTCTTTACATTGTGAAGTTTTGTTCTCTTCGTTATAAATAAAATACTGATATATATTATTTCTTCGTTTACTTCCCATGTTATTTCAGCACTAGAGACAGACACTTCAAATTATAAATAACTTATAATAATAATTAAGTTCCCCAAACGACATTCAACTAAATCTTTGTTTTTAATAAACTAACATTCCTATCGTCGAGAGCGCTCCGAGTTGAATGAGGTGAGAGAAAAGTAGGCATGCGACAAACGCTGCGGCGCGCTCAAAGGCAAGTTGAAACAGGTTCAGACAAGTATACGCTTGACGAACGAGTTTCCGCCGATATCAAGCACCGCGGATCGTGATTCAAAAAACCGGTTTATTTTGTTTACAGAACAAAATGAATTCCGGTTTTGTTCTGAACATAACGTTAACACAAAACCGTTATTAACCTTTATTAACCGTTATTTTTCAAACCGGTTCCGGGCCTTGGCCTTATTTCTTTGTTGAGTTCTTGTTTAACTCCTCATTTGTACCTGAGAATTCCATTTACTCGCGTAGGCACTCACCTGTACCGCTCAGAAATGACGGCATAGTGCTCAGAGTTATTTTCTGATATAGTAACAGCCTTCTAAGCGAAATTCACGTTGGTTCATTTCACATGTTTTTTTTTCCATTGGCTTGTAGTCTATTAGTTACTATTATAAGTTTAATTTTAATTTTTCCATTTTTCAATTATACTTTAATTTCGTGATAAATCAATCTTTAGATATTAGGTACCTAATAGGTACTTAAAATCTTATTAATCATAAATTATACAAACGATAACTGACAATTATTAAAAAAAAATGTTTGCACAAATCTCTAGTTGTTATGTTTAGTTTGGTGGTTATTCTTTAACATTTCTAAATATCTCAATATATACGTGTAAGCCTCAGAGCGCAGACAAAATGGTAAATATTCTGATTCTTGTATCAAAAAATTACCAAAATGAATGTTTCTTCTATCATTACTGATGTTTCCTAAATCGCAATCTCGACAGCTTTGTTTATTAATAGAATTCTTTTGATTTTCAGTATGGCACGCCAATTTTTCGTCGATTGGCTTTCTAAATTTAGGTTAATTTTTATCATTAAGTTGTTTTTCATATTTTTCTTTAATCATACCATGTTCTTGCTTAATAGATAGCAATGACTGCGATTCATTGTGTTCTTCGTGTGAATTATCTGGGAATAAAAAAAATTATTCAAGCAAATTTTATTTTATTTTAACTATGCCACAACACAACACAAGTAACTATTAACACCAAACCATCATAGTCATATAAAAATTTCGCACACTATTTTAAACAAGTATTTTTAAAAAAGCTACGTTTCTAAAATTCCAGTCTAGAACATGGAATAAATCTAAGCGCACGGTCAGTGCGCAGGCCAAGTTAAGCTTAACTTATTACACGAAACGTTTCGACCAACTTTTGACCCCCCTGTAGCTCACTGCCTATTGCAAGTACGGAGATAAAATTGTACCTACGTAATCATAAACTAGTACTAAAGCAGTATGCCAAATTTCATAGATATAACTTCAGTCAAACCCAGACCAGACCCTGAAATATGACCCTGTGAAAATAGCTAATTTTGGCACTGACTGACTGACTGACTGACTCACTCACTCACTCACTCACTGACCGGTAATCAAAACCTTTAGGCCACTTCCAATTGTCCTAGCGTTATGAAATTTGGCACACTGGTCGTGTGTTATATGTAAATTAACAAAAAACGCACATCGACGTTTACACACCTGCACATACACACACATCCATACAGACACTATAATTATATTAAGGAATTTGATACTTATGTAAAATACAAAATACTAAAAACTTGAATATGACAAATAAAATATTATATATTACCTTCATTTTAGGGTCTGCTTCTAAATCTTCAATTTCTGTAAAGAATGGTTGACTATTTTCTTAAAATACTATGTCACATTTATTATCTGCAAAAAAAGAGCATACCATCAATTTGCAATAATCAATGTGCTGCAAGAACTAACGATTAACCAACTATTTGAGGAGTTACGTAAAATTAACAACGAATAAAGATTATTTATATGCATATTTACCCATTTTAACACTGGTTTCCAATTCTTCACTAGATAAAATACCTATACACTAAGAAAAGTAATATAATTGTCTGTGCGACGTGATTTTTGTAGCTATCTGCCGCTGGCACTGGCGTGTGTGGCGCGGCGGCGCGCGGGTCGGTGGATTCCTCTATCCCCGCCTTGCCTTAAATCTAAAGAACGAAAAAATAGTGTTCAATAACGGTTAATGAACACTAACCACAATGGGAACTTTATTTGAAAATACCGGTTAAATTAAGGCTACGTTGGAACGAAACCTTAATATTTCGTTCACATGTACTTGCAAGCCAAACCGGTTTGAAAATTTTACCGGTTTCCGACCACTGTTAGCAAGACAATCTTCAACACATCTTGCAGGTTAGTTATTGGAACTGTGCTTTGTTGAAGATGAACGTTGGTTTCATCAAGCCACTCGGTGTCATCATTTTCGCGCACAACGCAGAGAATCTCGATTTACCGATCGATCGTCGCGTGAGGACGCGTGAAGGACAAACATTTTGCATCTCTAGACTATTATTGCTGGGATTAAGTTGCTCGTGACATGAATTTACATGTTCCTTAACTTTCTTCTTTGTACAGAAGTACAATCCACACCGCTGGCACGTCCTTTCCAAGAGTTGCTGACGATCCTTCTGCAGACTAGGACAATACAAGTCATAAGGCAATTTTTTAAAGCCCTCATGCGTTGGGGTGATTCCAAGAGACCGACGCAGAAGAAATGTAGCAAAGGTCTTGCCATCGTGCTCTTGAGGCTTCAGAATACATAGGCCACTAGATGACTGTAAAATTGGGTAAGGAGGTATAACGAAGCGCTCCGAAAGAATAGATCGAAGAGAACTCCGCATATGTCCACAGCAAGCGCGGTCATCACACTTCACCACCTGGTAATGATATTAAGATATTTTAATTGTATTGTCGTATTAGATAAGAAGATTAAATGATAAAATAATAATAAGTGAGATTTTTCTAATGTACCTGAAGCAAATACTGGCTCTCTCGCACATGCTCGCTATACCACTGCGGAGAAGGCAGGTCTGGAATAAAGCTTTCAGAACTGTCATCGGGCTCGACATACTCTGCTACGACGTCATGGCCGTCGATAACCATATTATCCCATACTTCTGCGAGAACTTTTCCAGCTTTCTGAAAGTTCATTTTTTCAAGATCATGATCTTTTGTTCTCCCTTGTTCATCCAAATGACTTCCATAAAAATCATGCGGAAATATAAGTCCAGATAATTCCCGGCTTAGAGGCGCCATTCTTCTCTCAACACGGTTGAACGCGCTTCTGCCAGGTGCATTCGTAAAGATGAATATTGCATCTAGATCATGCTTGACAAAGTGGTGTATGGCATGGGAAATAACTTTTGGATATCTCGGGTTTTCGTCGGGTCCTCCATCAGATGAAATCAAAACAATTGGTTTCAGGCATCCTTCTTCATCCCGCATAATTTCCTTGAAATTGTTGAGAGTAGCAAGCTGATTGAAGTCCACAGCATGAATAGAAGCTGTCGAAGAGGAATGTTTGTCACTTTAATCGCCACATATGTTGGCCCTGAGTACGTGATTGCTTCAGCACGGCCCATATCATTTCCTTTTCGTTGCCTGCACTCTGTCAGGCAATGAAACACGATATTCGACATGCATCAGGAGCGGAGCTTGTTTATTTGCCGCTGTCAAACCTATAGGTACCCGGGCTTTATCATCTTGCGACAGAAAAAACACTTGTTTTGGCCCGAGAGTAGATGCCAGCGTTTCCAAGGATCTTATTGTGGCGACACAAAAATGTTGATCGACGTGAGCCTTATGGTGATCTGCCTCAGGGCGAAACAATTTGACAGGCACAGTGACTACATGCCTTTTGCCCTCCAAGTTGGTATAATTTCTTGGGAGCAACCGAAGGTACGTGCCACTCTTCGAAATTTGAAATCCGTGCTCCTTTAGCTTCTCATGGAGATCAGTAAGTGTTCGGCAACTGCGAACAATTTCTGAGCGACGCCGTTCCTCCGCAGAAGCACCAACCATAGCCAAATCGACGATAGTTTTTAGCAATTGCGGATGTTGTTCTTCCAGGCGTGGGCGACCTGCGGCAGAACGCGCCTTAAGAAGATTAGTTACATTCGGACTCTGATTGCAAGCAAGTTCAATCTTTGATTTTATTGATAATCTATGTGACTGGGAGTGACGCATATGTTGCTCCTTCTTCCGTAGTTCTTTTGTGCATTTATCAATTTCTCGGCGCAGTTTCGTTACATCACGCGTCTCATTTTCACTGACGCACAGAGAATCCCTACGACGAACAGCTAAGTCAAGTTCCATTTGAAGAAGGGAAATCTGATTCTTCAACTTATCCTGTGCAGGAGTAGCACGTGCAGGCTGCGGTATAGAGCTGCATGCACTTGGTGTATCCGGTGAATTCTCGTCGCTACACTCCAAATCTTGACAATTACGTTTCCGAGCCCCTGGAATGATTAAATATCTATTTATAAATTAATGCTGATATTAAATTTCTCTTTATCATGAATTCGTAATACATTTAGGATGTTTACTACCTGTTGAGGTACTTTTAATAGTATCATTGCCTTCGTCAGTAATTTCGGCACAGATCGGTGAGACGCATATCGTAGGCGTAAGTTTTACAGGTAGACTTGGCTCATTGGATGTCATTGACGAAATAGGAATGTTTTCGCTGGCATTCTAAAAAAATTAAGATTTTAATTATTATCCTGCAAGACAATATCGTGCAAGTAAATTAACCTTCTCCAGTAATTTTATTTTTTCTGATATTAAAATAAGAATTCAAAGCGGCACACAAACCATACACAATATTTTCACTAGAATAATGGGTATGTAATTAGTATATGTATGCAAGATAATGCTGCCATCGTTCATTAGTGAATCTCTCCGTTCAATATGAACTATGAATAGTAATAAAAATATTGTAGGTTTTCACAAGGTGACAAGATATAAATATATAAAAAAAGCGTCAAATGTGTTACAATAGTAAGTAATATAATCTTCACTTTACAACCACCACGACTTATGTTTTACTTTGTTTTTAACGTTTAATAAACCCATACCTCGTAAACAAGGTTCAGCTCAATACGCCTATACGCGTGATATGTAGGCATATGGGGCCACGTGATGCTTATACTTAAGAGATTATTTGAATAACATTTTTATTAGAAAAATAAAATAATATATTTTGGAATTAAGTTAGTAACACTTAAAGTAGATACGCTATGCATATTTATCTATATGTATTTATTTTCTAAAATTATAAAAAATGTTGTAAGATTTAACAATAACAGTTATACTGCAAATAAACTATAGGTGAAGTCTTATTTATTAGGACAATGCCCTTAAATAGATACCTATTAGTTTTAACTTACCTTTTTAGAATTAGAACAATAATAGAGAATATTGGAAGACTTCTTTGCTTGGTGCTTTCGGCGGTAATCTAGTAAAAGATCATTCGCCCACTTCATAAATTCTTCTTTTGTAGTATATTTTTGTTTCGCATCAGCCCACAACTCATTAAATTCTTTCTGAGCTATACCAGGTGTTTTTCCTTTCTTATACTCTGCAAAAAGGTCTTTATACAGATCACCTACTTTAAACATTGTTTTAATGCAAAACGTACAAGGGTAACGGTTTACGCGTGTATTCGGAGCCAAAACAACAGAATACCTGGCGACTGGCGTGCCGAGCCGGGCGGTTGTCGGCGGCGCGTGAGTACTTCGTTCGTTACCTGGCAAGTCAAGGTCACACCACCCGCCGCTTTTCGGTTTAGAAATCGCGCGTTTGACAAAACAATAAACACACGTGATATTTTACTACACCCCCCATTTTGATATTTCGTGATTTTAGTCAAACCCCTCCCCCCCCCCTTTCAGGCCTCACGTGATTAATGAATGGCCCCAAATTACTATGACGGCTTTATCTTTTTTTGGGACAAAAGACAACAAAGTGAGGTCTTTTGTAAAACCATAAAGAGAACTTTCAACAGCTCCGTTTTTACTTGGTATAAACTGTGGAGGTATTTCTCGTTTGTTCTTTTTTAATGTTCCCAAATATGTCAGTCCCTTTTTCAATAGCATTTCTGCCAGAGGTATTGAGTTGAACCAATTGTCCGCTGTCACTTGGTATTTTCAATGGGTTTTATAAGTCGCAACACAGACTGTGTAGGGACAGAAAGCTTTTTCTCAGCCTCCGGGAGGCCTATACTATCAGGATCCTTGCCGTGGTAAATGTACGCGTTATATACGTAGGATTCCCGGGCGTCGCTCAAGACCATTATCTTGATCCCATATTTAGCGGGTTTTTTTGGCATGTAGATGACAAATTTGAAGGCTAATAGCATTCCGCCAATGCAGGTGTATGGACCAGGTGTGTAATTTTCTTGACAATTTGCGATAAATTTATTAAAAAATCCAGAAACGGCAGCAAGAGGGTCAGTTTCTAAGCGCTCCTGTCGGTCATCAATATTGTCCAGCCTCAAGCAATTCAAAAGTGTGTTGAATCTATATTTAAACAAGATACATCTAAATATTTCATGACCTGTTCTATCAGTCGCAAACACATAGTTTGAATCAGCATCGTTACATTTGAATACTGAGGAATATTCTTCTTCTTCAATTGTAAAATTTTGATCAGCTACTTCTACTACTATAACTAAATTCGTGCTCATTATCTTCTAACCACTCTTCAAGTGCTTGTTCAAGTAATTTTCTGTAAGATTTCTCTTCCTCGAATTACTGGTACTCGCCATCTATATAGATAGAAACAAAAACATAGGTCATTAAAATTATATAGAAACATATTACTAAGGTGATGAACGACAGATATTTTAAACATAACTATTTTACGGATGTGACGTATGTAAGATAGTAGGGTATTATAAATATTTTACTGATAATACGTATGACAGATCCATCACTTATTACTGACCTTACGTCCTGTAGACACCTGATAGCTCCAACTAGCCACGTGCGCACACTGCGGCTGTCGTCGCCGCACTAACGCGTAGGTGGCGCTCTCAGAGGAAGGTACTGAGCGAGACAGGAGATTATGTCGCGAAATGACGGAATGAGACACACATATAAATTTTGCGGTGTCTGACGTACGTTACGTCAGTAGCAGAGGGTTAATAAGGATTTGTTAATAAAATTTTGATACAAATTTAACCAATTATTTAATATAATACAAACATATTTTTATCAACATATCACCATTAGTATATATTATAGTATATATTATAATCTGTACCACTTTAGCTGTAAATAAACATTTTTTTTTTCATTTTCAAGGGTGCCGTCTGCTAGTTGGGTAATATTATATTACTAGGTTATAATAATAATTTGATATGTTCATTGAAACGCGAAATTAGTTAATTCACGAATTTTATTAGAACACACATTCGCTTAACTTGTCCAGAGAGCGAGAGAGAGTGTTGCCCACACCACCTTTGTAAAATTTCCCATTATGTGTTACCACACTCTTCCCCACCCACAATGTTATAAAATTAGGACATATTTATCTTATTTTTATTTTATACAAAAGTGAAGGTTATTTATACAAATAATTTATAAATATTACATGACTATTCACCTTCAATTGTTACTGCACACTTCAACATTTAATTCACATGACGTTTTACAAGTCTCCCCTGAACTTCAATCATATATGTCACCCCCGGTGTTAAAAACTGCTTTAATTCCCCACAAATCCATTTTTTTTGCCTTATTTCTATAGTCCCTTACCATCACCTTTTCCCCCACACTAAATATTACCGACCTGCTTCCTCGACTACATTTTTTTAATTTTTCATCAAGCATTTGTAATCGTGCACTAATTGGTGGTGGTCTTAAAAGTGAGAACCTAGATCTCAGTTCACGACGAAATAATAACTTTGCAGGGCTAACACCGGTGATTCTATTAATACTTGTTCGGTATTCAAAAAGAAATAAATTAATGGCATACTCTAAATTATGACCACTTTCTACAATTTTTTTTACATGGCTTTTAAAAGTTTGAACAAATCTTTCTGCCGGCCCATTTGTTGCCGGATAGTAAGGTGGTGTGTAACTTATCCTAACACCTGTCACATTGCAAAATTCTTTAAACTCGTTGCTTGTCCAAGTTGTACCATTATCCACCACCAAATGGAGCGGGTAACCAAATCTAGAATATAAATCTTTAAAGATTGAAATTGTTTTACATGCTGTAATATTTGACATCATAAAAGCTTCAGGCCATTTCGAGTAACTGTCAACTATTACAAGGAACATTTTCCCATAAATAGGTCCAAGAAAATCTGCATGCAACCTTTCCCACACAGACTCAGAACATGGCCATGTAGACAATAATGCTTTTTCTGGGTTATCACGATTTTCTAGACAAATTAAACATGATACTGCTATTTTGCTTATGTCCTTGTCAATTGTTGGCCACCAAAAATAAGAACGTGCAATTTGTTTCATTCTGTTTGTTCCAAAATGACTTAAATGTAATTCATTCATGATTAAATTCTGTAGGCATTCAGGAATGACCACTCTATAACCCCATAACAAACAACCTTGATCAATTGTCAATTCATTTTTTCTGTTAGAGAAAGGTCTGAACTTCTCACTTAATTTGTTTTTATCTGGCCAGCCATCTATACAGTACCTCATAACAGTTGACAGCAAAGTACATTTAGCAGTTTCTTTTACAATATCTTTCCAATTAATACTTTCAAAATTTGACAATGACAAATAATTTAAAACACTTACTTCACTATTATCTAACAGTGGATGTTTAAAATTAGTTTTATCATCAATTGGGTTTCTTGACAAAAAATCTGCAGGATTATTTTTCGAATTAATATGACGGATACAATAGTTAAAGCCTGACAAGAATATGGCCCAATGTTGTAAACGTTTGCAAGCCATTTTTGGTATTCCCTTTTTAGGGCCAAAAATTCTTACCAGAGCTGCATTATCAGTTTCTAATTCAAATGTTCTTGCAAATAGATATTCATAAAACTTTGTTACTCCAAATATGATAGCTAATGCCTCTTTTTCTATAGTGGGGTACTTAATCTGCCTAGACAATACCGCTGCGACACCACATTCAGAAGCATCACAGCTTAATATTATAGGTAAATCATTACTATAATGTGCCAATGTTGTTGTATTGGCTAACTGTTCCTTAATTTTTTTAAACGCTACATCACATTCACTATTCCAACAAAAACAATCATTCTTAAGGCAGTCATACAAGGGTTTTAAAATTATTGCCATATTTTTTAAGAACCTGTTATAATAATTGATTTTTCCTATAAATGAACGTAGCATCTTTAAATTATTATGTTTAGGTAATTAATAAGGGTTCTATATTATCTTTAATCACTTTAATACCTTCTTTTGACACATGATAACCCTTAATAATACCTTTACCCAAAAATACCTTTAAAGATTGTTTGAAAAACTTACATTTATTAATTTTTAATTTAAGCTCAGCTTCTGCTATACACTCTAATACTGATCTTAATCTCCTGTTAGTTTCTTCCAATGTGTTTCCAGCTATATAAATATTATCTATATAAACAACTACACCTTTTAGTCCTGAAAGCAATTGTACAATTAATCTCTGAAATGAACCTGGTCCTGTGCTTACCCCATAGGGCAGATACAAGTATTTAAAAATGCCCTTCTCTGTAACTATTGTGGTTAGTTTTTGTGACTGTTCATTAAGTGGTGCTTGTAAATATACTTCTTTTAAATCTAGTTCACAAAAGAAATCATTATTTTCAAAATTTGCTAATATTTGATTAATTGTTGGAAGGGGGAAATGATCAATAACTAAGTGGGGGTTAAGTGTGATTTTATAGTCCCCACATAATCTAACTGAGCCATCACTCTTAAGAACTGGCACTACGGGCGTTCCCCATTCACTAAACTCAATTGGGGCTATGCGACCATTTTCTAATAAACGTTTGATTTCATTATCAACTTTTGATTTTAAAGAAAAAGGAACACTTCTAGCTGGCAAAAACTTAGGAATAGTGATTGCTTTAAGTTTCAGAGAAATAGAGGCCTTTTTGAAATTGCCCGATCCTGGTTCAAATACAGCAAAAAAGTCATTTTTAATTTCAGAAATGTACTGATCTTCATTTAATTTACACATATTAACATTTTGCTTTAAATTCAATGGCCAAAGTTTCAGATGAGATAACCAATCCTTACCGATAATCCTTGGGGGGCCATCAGGCACTACGACCAAAGATAAATTATGACAAAATACCTTATCATAAACAACAAACAGACTACCTAAAATACCAATTGGTTTTGAAATTGTTTGGTTATAGTTTATCATAGTAAGGCAAGACTCTTCTAGTTTTAAATTAGGAAAATATTTATTTTTATCACTGATGTTTATAGTTGTAATATCTGAGCCAGTATCAACTTCAAAGTCAAGCAAAATACTATTTATTTCTATTTTTAAATAAATAGAGGGTACCTTTTTTCCTAGTTTGCACATTTAATATATGGAATTTATCATTTTTTTCACTATAGATACATGAGGCTTCCTCCACTTCTTCACTTTGGCTAGTTACCTGATCGACCAACACTGTCTTCACATTTGTGTTTTTCCTTGAACAAACTCTGAAAATGTGTCCTTTCTGTCCACATTCACTGCAATATTTATTTCTCAATGAGCACTGAGAACGCATATGTCCCACTTTCCCACAGCAAAAACAGTTATTGCCTCTTGTGGATGTTTGGTTCTGGTTAATTTTACTGGAATATTTAAACTGCGGCTTAGAATTTGTGTTTAAAGCAAACATTTCTACAGTCTTACTTGTGTCCTTGTGTGCTAAGTTGTATGCCATTTCTGCAGTTTCAGCTGTTAATACTAATTCATTTAGGGATTTTTCTGCTATTTTTAAGAGCTCATATCTAATAGTTTCATTATGGACACCATTTAACAATCTTTCCTTTAGTTGTTCATTCACATCAGTAAAAGCACAATCTTTTGTCATTTTTCGCAGTGCCAGCATGTAATCCTTTATAGATTCTGATGGTTCTTGTTTCCTATCTTTGAATTTCACTCTAAACATAGCCACATTTGTTTTTGGGTGATAAAAGTGGTTTTAACTTTTCACACAATTCTTCATATGTAAGTTTAATTGGAGACAATGGTGAACAAAGACCAGATACATTTTCATAAACATTGCTACTTAATTTTGTAAGTAACATTGGCACTTTTTTTCTTCTGATATATCATGTAACAACATATAACAATTCAATTGTTCATAATAACTATTCCAATTACTCCACTAAAATTATCCAGGCTTGATGGTAATATATTGGCCAAGTTTATTCGTAATGATTCCTCAAGCGAATGCTTTTGTGTTGTTTTCACGTATGTCCTTAACAATTTTCGTAGTTCTTCAATATTAATGTTTTGGTTTATAGTTAATATACCTAGGTCTCTAGCTAAAATTAACAAAGTTTCTTTATTTTCTGATTGTATCCAAGAAGTTTTGCCGCTTTTAATTTTCTTTTTAAGCTCTTCCATATATTACAACATTAATGAAATTACTTGCTGTAAATTTTTAACCCACCAGTCATTGCAGTTATATGCAAGACAAGATGTCCGCCGACGCCGATGAAATGTTTGGTAATTTGAACACGTTGTTCTTAAGACCTCGTCGCCACTGTTGTATTTGATTTTTCTAGTTATTTATATTACTAGGTTATAATAATAATTTGATATGTTCATTGAAACCCGAAATTAATTCATTCACGAATTTTATTAGAACACACTTACATTCGCTTAACTTGTCCAGAGAGCGAGAGAGATTGTCCAGAGAGCGAGAGAGAGTGTTGCCCACACCACCTTTGTAAAATTTCCCATTATGTGTTACCACAGGTATCGAGACGGATTTGCATTAAGACTACTGTCCTTCCATTTCAGTATCTTATATTGTATATTATAATCTGTACCACTTTAGCTGTAAATAAATATTTTTTTCATTTTCAAGAGCGCCCTCTGCTAATTGGGTATCGAGACGGATTTGCATTAAGACTACTGTCCTTCCATTTCAGTGTCTTATATTGTATATTATAATCTGTACCACTTTAGCTGTAAATAAATATTTTTTCATTTTCGAGGGTGCCCTCTGCTAATTGGGTATCGAGACGGATTTGCATTAAGACTACTGTCCTTCCATTTCAGTATCTTATATTGTATATTATAATCTGTACCACTTTAGCTGTAAATAAATATTCTTTCATTTTTAAGGGCGCCCTCTGCTAATTGGGTATCGAGACGGATTTGCATTAAGACTACTGTCCTTCCATTTCAGTATCTTATATTGTATATTATAATCTGTACCACTTTAGCTGTAAATTATTTTTTTCATTTTCAAGAGCGCCCTCTGCTAATTGGGTATCGGGACGGATTTGCATTAAGACTACTGTCCTTCCATTTCAGTATCTTATATTGTATATTATAATCTGTACCACTTTAGCTGTAAATAATTTTTTTCATTTTCAAGAGCGCCCTCTGCTAATTGGGTATCGGGACGGATTTGCATTAAGACTACTGTCCTTCCATTTCAGTATCTTATATTGTATATTATAATCTGTACCACTTTAGCTGTAAATAAATATTAATTCTTTTTTAAGGTCGCCCTCTGCTAATTGGGTATCGAGACGGATTTGCATTAAGACTACTGTCCTTCCATTTCAGAATCTTATATTGTATATTATAATCTGTACCACTTTAGCTATAAATAAACATTTTTTCATTTATAAGGGCGCCCTTTGGATATCGATTGGATATCGAGACGGATTTGCATCTTAGGAAAATTGGTTTTTTTTGGCCTTTCATAGACTCTATACACTTAATATATTTTGTGGTGAGAATGTGTTGCTTCAAACATTATAGTTTTGCAATAATAGTACACTTACAATATTTGCAGTAAGATTTGGTAGAATCATCTCGAACTGGTGACAGACAATCCTTAAACTCGCTCATCTGTTTCCATTCTTCACGATAATGTTGTGAATATTTTGAAACAATTACTCTCACAAAACATGTATATAGATACCACGAACCAAACTTCACAAAAAACTTTAACTACAAACTTTTAACACTTCACGCACTTTTCAAAGCATAACATGCTTAAGTAACTAACTTCGTTCAACCCACGGAATATAAAAACTAAGAGGAAGTAACAAAACACGTAAATTGTACCGGAACTACTGTCGCCAAACACACATTCGCAAGAAAGCAACGTGTACCGACAATTGTGCACCATTTCAATCGTTTTCACGTGATTGGCTCTACAAAATTAAAAAAGAAAGGCATTCTGTTACTCGCGATTCGCTTGAGTACGAACCATAAGTTTTTCAAAATAAAGATCATATTCCTTTTAATCAAAGAAGTTTCTAGAATAATTAATGACCAAATTTAGCTTCTTAACGTTAAATGTCGCAGTAATAACGCGGTTATTTGAAAACGCACCATAAAGTATTACCAATAGATATCATTATGTCGTAATCCAAAAAGGGTCTGAGGTTGACAAAAACAATTTGCTACTTGTCGCTAGATGTCGCAATAACAAATTCACGCTATTATAGGCACAATGTTAAATGGATATAAGGTTAACTTTGCCCTATCTGAGCTACTTCTGCTACGTGAATTATTAGTGATGTGGTTACACTGCCCGAACGTAATCTGACTTAGCGATATTCAGTCAATATTAATAATCTATGATAAAATTAGTAAAATAACAAAATTTATTGGAAATTACCTTAACGTACTACGTACATTCCCGTAATTCACATAGCCGGCATATAATAAGCTGACTTTAATGGAAATATATTAATAGTGATCTAAATTATCATTTTTGAAATGGAAACAAAGAGTATGATAAAAAAATATTGTTTATTGTCCTAGAAATAGTTACATATTTATTTAAAAATTGACGTTTTGATAGTTTAACCCTTATTCAAACGCCAGCCCCTGAAGGAGTTGCCAAAAAGTAGGATCCATTTCTGAGTAATTATAGGTCATAGATTTCAAAAATTCACAAAAAATAGGGGTAAATGGGGGGAAGTACTACTTTTTTGGTGGGAAGTATAAGTGTTCGATAAGACATTAATATTTTATAACACTAGCTAGTTGCCCCTGCTTCACTTGGGTAATAAATTTCAATGCCCAATTTTATATAAAACGTGATTGTTAACGTAAAAGAACTCATCAATGCAAGTAAGTTTATACCTTTTACTAAGGAAAGAACTCCAAATTAAAAAATGGGTGCCATAGCAACTAATTTTACTTTTGCGACTTTATAGATAGGTATTTCTTATAGATAGATAGTAAGTTATTTGTACTGATGAGTACTTGCACTTTTTGGCTCTCGGTTAGTGAATAAAATAAATGTAATCATAGAAAATTTTTTATTCATATAATTTGACAAATAATGTTGTTACGTATTAGGAACTCTTTTATCACATTAATCAGACTATAATTATCAGGGGCCCAATTCTCATGCATTCGAATGAAGTTCACATTCGTAAAAAAGTTCCAAATTTGAATTTTTTTCAAAGGAGAATTCATATTTGGAACTATTTTTACGAATGTGAACTTTATTCGACTGCATGAGAATTGGACCCCTGGTCTTTTATCTCTCATTTATGAAATTAAAGTAATTCTCGTCCATTCTGTTGCAGCAGTATAAAAGTCTTGAAAGCATCCTTTGATGCACAGCGGTATGGTGCATGTAGAGCACAAAAATTTTGTCCTTTTCTCCTTTCTTTTTGTGCTACAGAATCGGCATCTCTTATAAGTTTCACTTTCTTGAGGCTTGTGTATACCTACATTCAGTAATCGAATCTCTTCTGGCACTCCACCCCACTCTTCTTGCTTGTTAAGGGTACACTAGGGCGTGCTTTCTTTGTAGTCTATTAGCTATTATTAGTTATCTATATAGTTGTCTATTAGCGCTCGTGCCAAACGTAGTCTAAATTCACGGTGTGAATGTCCTGTAGTGACATGTGTTGCACTGTAAGTTATATATGAATTAATGATGGATGCATCAAACATAAAAAAGAATAAACGCATCCAAAATTTTCTTGATTTTCGGTTGATTGGATAAGAAGATCTATAATGATCAAACAAATCAACCCCACCCATACTCATTGTGTAAGACGCAATTGCTGCAATCTCTGCTCTTGTACCATCTCTTTGAGTTCTTTTTACGTACGTGATGTCCAATGGCTGATGTGCTGTCGTTAGCAACGTCTTTTGTATCAAGCCATTTTATGGCTGTTATTGGTTCTGATGTCATCACTGAGAACTCATGCTTTTGTAGTATTAACTATTTTGGTTGCTTTTTCGTAATTTCCGGGAGATCTTTTCGATTTGTTCTTACTGATCCTACAGCATAAATATGTTTATCATATAAATATTCCATCAAATTGCAACCAGTAAAGAAATTGTCAAAGGCTAGTAGTGTATTCATAGGGTTGTCACTAAGTTTCATCAAAACATTGTAGCCCAGACCTTCATCTTGAATACTATCACCTTTTCCTGTATATATCTGAAATTAGTATAAGTATCCTGTTTTAGCATCACATCTGGCCCACACTTTAAATCCCCTTTTAATGGGTTTTTGGACATATATTGTTTTAATGAGCACCTGCCTTTAAATTTCACCATGCACTCGTCGATTGACTGTACACTTGAATTGTATGCCTCGTTCTGATATACTTCATTCAATGTTGTGATCAATGGTCTCAATTTACATAATTTATCATAGTTTGGTGAATCTCTTAAGGGTTCGATGCTGTTGTCATTAAGATGAAGATTTTCTGTTATTTTCTTGAATCTTGCTATTGGAAATACACGAGAAATTCTAGGGTTATTATAGAAGGGATCACTTGACCAATAAAGTTCCATGTCTGGTAATGGATTCAAGCCCATTAGAATAAGAATACCTAAATATGCTTTGATATCATGTTCATTGACTTGTGGGCATATCTGTTGTTTTGTTCAACAATCACTTGTATTAAATAATCCGGGAAGAAATTTTCAAATTTCTTTTGTGTTTTATGGTTGAATTCAGACTTAGGTTGAAATTTTCTGTCAAAATTAGAAATGTTATGAGTGGTTCTATACATTTCCCATTTACGTGGCTGAGATCTATTTCTTGGCACTGTAGAACTTGGTAGGGCTTGCAAATCCTCCTCCCTTACTAAATTCTCTTCTATGGTACTGCCGCTTTGCTCAACATGTTTAGAAATGGCTACTTGCTGAAGAGGATTATCGGTGGTGACATTTTCTTGAATGTTATTTAGCCCTGTTCCATCTAGCAGTGCCTCACTTTGTATATTATGTTCCAAGTCTAATATTATCTAGTAAGTTCTCACATGGTTGTACTGTACTTGTAATTTCTTCATGTTCTGTGTCACTCATATCATTCATTCCAAATATCTCTTCAAGCCGCATCTCGATTCTCTCCTCCTCATTTTGTTGCAAAAATGACCTTGAAGGACTTATTATAAAATCACCGTAAACCAAATCATTATCAGAATCAATATCCGACCAATCATCATTATCTAGAACGTTTTGAATCGCCTTGTCAGTAAGTTTTTTCGGCGGCATTTTTTCTAAAACAAAGTAAATAAAGAATCTTTATAATGTAATAAAACACTTGTCTAATTATCTGATCACGAAATAAACGGATAGTGTAACTGATAAAATGCACATAATAATCTTCATTCGATCAATGGACAGACAGATTTTATATATACATATTTTTCACAGAGCAATAACGAACACTGGGATGATATCTTCCCACTTATAGACTCAAATTCAGTCGAGTTTCCCAAGCTGCAAACAGAAGCTTCTGGACAAGTTTTATGTCTTACACAACCCAAATATAGTCTAATTTGCATATCTCAAACTCAAATCTGCTTACCTAATTTTTTTTTCAGCACAACACTAAAAACTTTGAAAAAAAAAAACGTCGTTTTGGGCCGCCAAATCACTACACCTGACTTTGACGTCGTATTTGACAAGACATGGTACTTTTCTGAAAAGTGTTGCCAGTAAAGGGAACCTCCCTGACATCTTAAGCGTGCGTTCAGAAATATAATAATTGCGTTAAGTGTTACCATTTAAAAATTAAATTAAATTTTCTACATTTTAGGAAGTGGGAACTATAGCTCCCAGCGTTTATTAAGGGTTATATTTAATTTTAGAAGATGATGAATTCCGGTATGAATATATTTACCAACTATCGCCTTTATCAAATCAGTGATATGGTTGGATCCAGAAAACGCCTAATGCTTACTAATAGAATTGAATAATTTTTTTCCAATAAACTGTCTCATTATTTTTAAGCTTATTGAATTTCGCTATAATATAATTGCTTTAAGTATATTTCAACACTTTGGCAAATTTTGAAAACATCAGTAGAGGGATGGATATATAGCAAACCGGCTGTATCTTTCGCTATTATGAATTTATGAAAATGCTCAAAATGGTGATTGACTAGTGCTCCTATAGAGGTATCACGTTTAATTTTTTTAGTAAAATCCTTACGATGAAGCCGGCAATATGACATATAGCCTGGATGCCAAAATCAGAAAAGTATAAGTAAAAATTTTTATGCTAAATCAGTCGAAAATATGCTAAATTTATATTTTAATGGCTAACCGTTAAAATGCTAAGTTGGCAGCAGGGATAATAAGTTGTTCTGTTACACTGTTGATCACGTAGTCTCTTTTTGAGTATTATTCCTCTATATATTACTTTGTTGCATAGCACCTCCCATTCTCGCGCTCCCATTAAATTAACTTTTATTTTATAAGCTCAATCGCCTTATTTATATTCCAGTTTACATTTTTACTTTCCACGTACTGTTTAATGGTAGACCATGCAATATGTCTTAGAATATTGTGGTTTTATCTATCGAAAATGTTTTAAATTATTCCTTACTGTCGTTCTTTGATTAGTTTCAACATAATGTATCGAATTCTATTTCTTTTTCAGTGAGCCAAGCTTGTATATCGCCTTTTTTGAGTTTTGTTGTAGACGCGAGTTCGTGTGTTTGTTGTTGTGATATGAAGCATTATCGACCACCACGACAGAATTTTGTGGAATTTCGGGCAATAATTGAGTTCGGATCCATTTTTCATAATTGTACATAATTCATGTTATCGTGGTAGTCACCAGATTTACAGCCTGCTTTAAAAGTGAGTAAAGCGGTTTGGACTACCACGCGGTGTATTACCACGCGTTGGGCCTTTCGGTTGTTACCATCCTTGTGAAGAACTTTTTGAAAATCTTCCTGTAATTTTCTCCTTAGTTTCTCAACAGTAGGAAACTCTTTATATGTCCGGTAAAAGTTGTGGATGGTGGATGCACCTTATCACAACACCCTGGTCGAAATTATCAATGTCAGTTACTGATTTTACTCTTGACTGCAATCAAGTCGGAACTATCTGCTTGTGTCGAAATATTTCTAACAATGTATACATACAGACGTTTTTGTAGCAAGTCCTGTCCGTTTTTGACATTGTTTTAAATTGTTAATGGTCGATTGTAATTTATTTTCATTTGTTATTTACATTTATATGTCAAAATACATACATAGACCATAGCCACGCGGTTTTGGTCTCGCCATACCATGAGATCGACGTCTCCAGGTGTGCAACTGAAAATTCTTCTTCTTCTTCGTAAATGGCCTAAAATTAGTTCTACAACGCGGTCACATTAACTTGACGCATGGCTTTGATGACGTCATTTTGGCGGCCAGATACGGTGCGAAAAAAAGCATGTAGCTAAATAAAAACTATATTTTTGATTTTGGAGCATAGGTTTTATTTGTTAATCTTGCAATATGTTGCATCATGTATTTTTTATACAGTATAATTTAAAACTATTTTATGTTGATAGATAAATATTTATTCAAAATTCATTTTCACTATAAATAATTGGTACAATATCATGGTCTAAACTGTCTTCTTCTTCACTTTCGATCTCGCTGTCGGATGACTCCTCTCCTCCAAGATCGATTACAAGTTGCTGCAGTACGTCGTTAACCAGGCCATCTTTTTCCCAGTATTCCTGAAAATAAATAAAATAGTGTTATAAATTTACCACAAAATAATTGTATCAATTTAGTGAATTACTAATATGTACCTCCAAAAAAGTACTTAAAATTTTTTATTTAACATCACAATACAAACATAAATACATACATACATACATACTTTAGATTTATAATTTATTTACGAACTGACCTGTTGTAGTCTCTCGACATGGTTAACTTCTTTTTTCCAGTCTGATGCAGTGATGGAGTTTATTGCATCTCTGGTGAGATTTTCAATTTTTCTTTCTTGTTGGTCTACGTTTTTGTATGTCTCTGTTTGACCAAATTCCAGACATATTCAATGGGGTTGAGGTCACAATGGTAGGGTGGCAAACGTACAATTTCATGGCCTTGTCATTTCATTAAATCATCGACAATGTATTGCTTGGGCGGCTTTGCCTTTTTTATAATATGGTAGAGTTCTCTTTTTCTCATTTTTTCATCAAATGGAATATTGGTGTCACGCAGCCACTGTTGCATATCTCCTTTCAACGTTGCACTTGTGGGCGCCTTCACTGACTGCGTTGAGTGGTAAGGCGCGTTGTCAATGACGACTATACTATTTGGAGTGGTATCAGGTTTTCATTAAGTCATTTCAAAAAATTCTCGGTATTCATTTCATGATGGTAATCGCCAGTAGTACTTTTGTATTTGTATAACAAATCTGTATCTGGGATAAATCCGTTTTCTCCTCCAGCATGCACCAGAATCCACCGTTGACCCGGGTAAATTTTTTTATTCACGCTGCTATCTGTGCTGTTTTGCCAGCATTTGCTGACGGTATAATGGGAATGGATCCACGTTTCATCCAGGTAGATAACTGGTTTTTTACCTGAGCCAAGGTCATTGTTCTCTTCCATTCGGGGCAGGTAGCGTTCTCTCCATGCGGCTATATCGGATTTTTGAATTAGCACCGAACGCTTACTTTTACATTTTTTAAACTTATAACCCAACTGATTTATTAAAATATTTCTAAGGAAAGTTCTTCCACCTTGAAAATTAAGATCTTTCTTAACAGCTGCCAAGATTTTTTTAAGCGTGGGTACTTCCTTTTTTACAGTATAAAAGCTGTTGATGATATTGCGTACTGCGCAAATATCAAAATCATCCACGACAATTTTTTTCGCTGATTGTTTTCGCTTTTTACCCGGTGTGGATAACTTTATTTCCCTCATTGGATTGTCTGTAGTACTTGGACTGGGACAAATGTCAGTGCTTGGTACCGTACTAGTATTTGGGGCCGTACTAGTACTTGGAGCGTGCTAGTGCTGGAAGCGTCGGGCGAAGAACCCGACGCATGCCTTTTTGGCCTCCCTTTTTATACGAGTAAGAGTACTTCTTGATATTCCAGTTGCTGCACAGGTTCGTTTATCAACCTGATCTACAGGTATGCAAAAGCGTCTATTTTTCTACTCATTCTCGAAAAACTGCAGCACTTTCAACACAAGATTTCTCCCTTCACTGTGTATAGTTTTCCCCATGTTAAAAAATGAGTAGTAACAAAAATAGTCCAAAATTAACAAAAACAGTCCAAGCTTAAACAATAACGAAAACGTAACAAAATGTCCAAAAACAACCAAACTTAAACAATAACGAAAACGTAACAAAATATCCAATAACAATAGCAAACTAGTCAAAATATCGACGCGCGTATCGGTAACAGAGATGCTAACCATACTGACGATTGCCGGGCGAACTAAGGGAGTGCGGGGGGAAGCGGGCGGGGCCTCGCCTTCCAGCGATGCGTCCGCGTTGTACATGATCTTGGCTAAATGTGTAACTTAGAAGAAAAGAAAGGGTACCAGATTCGACCAGAGTCCTATATAAATATGTCAAGCTTTCAATGCAGACTAAAAGTCCAATCACACCTCTATTCGTTTGGCACTTTCATTACGGAATATTTTCCGAAGTGTCTCTCGTTTCGTTTTTCTTTTTATAGTTTCTTTCCGTCGGATATCGACACATAAAGATAAACTTAGCTTTCACTGAATATGACATTGTTTGTTTAGCGTTACTAACACTTAGTGGTTTTTTGTATCCATGATCATGTAGATTCCTAGTGTTTAATATGTCAAAACATTATTTGAAATTAAAATGAAGTCGGCTGTTGCACTAAAGCCTTTAAAATCGATAAGATGTAGTTGCTCTTCACAAAACGCTCTCGCCACACTCTCCGACTCAAGAGTTGCGTAGGTAATTTTACTTTCATTATTTCATTTCTAAATGCTATGTGGTGGTGAGATAATTTGTTGGCAAGATGTAATCCCTATGAGATACCATTTTATAAGTTTCTGATTGGTATCTTTGATTATCTTTGTGGACTCAAATGTGTCACGCATAAATTTAATAATGTGGCATGCATCTAGAAACAGTCACATCGTAGTTGCCTGAAGGGTGTTTGAAATGAGTTTTCATGTTCGAAAAATCGTTCAATGTTTCTTATAAATCAATGTCAATGTGAGAACCGAGGATTTTCGTAAAATAAATATTTGTTTTACATCCATCAAAAGTCAACGATACCACTTTTACGTCAACTGAACTGAATTCACTTAACGTTTACCAGTCCATATTTTCTGTTGTTGTATTGACATTTCGTCAGCAATTGTGGCAACTATTACTTATTTTTATTGATTTTACCTGTTTTTTTTTCTGTCTGTCAAATGGTTTTCCTATAAATCCAGCTACTGCATTTGTACTTCTGTACCAGTTGCATAAAGTATTCGGGTAAAGTAGGCAAGTGTCAAACATTTTTCTTACGTACTGTTAGATTGTCCTATCCAGCACTTATAAAAAAAACAGTACTGAAATTTCGACAACTATTTATTAATTAAAAGTTTTACTCATACACAAGTTTGGACACAGAATTTCTACTATTACATAAAAATTATACGCGACTTGGATTATAACAGCGCGATAGCCCTGGCGAAGGGCAGAGTAGACCGGCAGTGTATTCTTAGCTTTCACTGATAGCCAGCCGGCAGGCAAGAACCAGGTCCGTAGCTGGGGAGCAGTTTAGCTGAAGAATAACCAACTGAATGAATTTAGGAAAGTCTTGCGTATTTATAGCAAAATTATTGCTGATTTTTAATATTGTATTTGAATAAACCAGTAATAATTGCATGTCAGCATTTTACTTTAACAAATAGTGATGTCACAGTGTAAATAGGGATGTAACATCTCCCCCCTTTAAAACGGAACATACGGAATAGAGAAGAAGTATGTGAGTATAATCCAAGTAACGATATAGAAATTAAGAAATATAAATTTGAGGAGAGAACATTTAACTTAAGACTAATGAAATATAATACTAATACAAAAAAGTGATAATTATATTGTACATTTAAGTTTTACAATAACTCAAGGTTTCGCCTTGGTGTACTTATATTGGAATCAGTACTTTCTGTATCATAATTTTTATTGGCCATTTCAATATTAGACCTTGCACGAATATTTGTATGAGGTTTAGTCATACAGGTATTGACAATTTTAATACAACAGGATGTACTGTTTCTTCGATTATTAAAACAGAGACATTTATACAATTTATAAGAAAAATATCCAAATACAGAGACAGATAATAGGGTAGTAATTATACTAAAATAATAGCTGTACTTAATATGGTAAGGTTGGCTTTCGATTTTAGTTAGTTCTGCTTCGTTTTGATTTAATTTATATGAAGCATATTGTAACGAATCAAGATTCACATGAGATAATTTAATAGGAGTTAAATATGGTAATGTTTGATTTACAGTAGCTTTAGAACTACAATCGTCTTCTATAATATTAAAATTTGGATTAGGAACATAGAATTTAATTTCGAATTCTTGAGACGGAACAAATTGTAGTAGCTTTAAATTGTAAAAGCTTATCATAAAGCTTTACAATATTTAGGTAAGTCTAAAATACCTGTCCCAACAATATTATAGTCATTCATTTTACCATCACAAGTTATAGATATCTTAGATATATCTATTATTACTAAGTCTTTGCCATAAATCTATTTCACCTAATATAATCTTATAATTACAAGATTCTGGTATTCCTTTCACATGTTCAGTTAAAATACTCACTTCACAAATAGGATTTCCGACACTATATTGTATATTTCCTAGTTTACACAAATAGTAATTATTATTTATCACTTTGCACTCACTTAAGTCTTGTAACGCGGAATATGTTAATTTATCCTGTGTCACAGCTAGAAATTTTGCGGATGGATTTATTAATGCAAAAGTATTTGGATTTTGAATGTCGTGTGGAGTTGGTAAAGCATATATGTGATATAAATTATAATCTACAAAAGTAACTAGAGGAATTCTAATGGCAAATATTAGTTTATTTTCGTTGATAAATGAAGATATTTCTGCGACATCTATTATTGTATGAATATTCTCAAGAGATAAATGTAAAGGCAAACTAGAAAGAATATCATTACTTTTCGAATTCAGTTCGTTATACAACTGTATTGGACTTAGCACTGATGGATGAACTACATTCTGTTTCTCAAATAGAATAGCATTGATTAGATCTTCAAGGTTAAAATTAAGTATCATTAATGACTTTTACTTAGACTTTTACTTTCTAAGGCACTAAAAGTCATTGATAAATGTGATATTATTTCTAACTTATTGGTATTAGCTGAAACAGTGTCTAAAATTTTGCCTAAATTTCGAATATTGCTATTAAGAATATTTTCGTTTTCGTTAAGTTTGGCAATAGTATTGTTAAAAGATGAAATGGTAGAAGTTATTAAGTGAATATTTTCTTTCATAATTGAAGCTAGGTGTCTTTGATCGTCTTGAACCGCATTAATCGCATCAGTAAAAGCCTTAGCGTCATCTTCGTCTAGAGAACCAAATAGTTGTTTCAAGATTGGACCACCTATACCAATCCAGGCAGACCTTTTAAATTTGTGAGTAGTATTAGCATTAGTTAAATGGGATAAAGAGATGTAATTATTTTGAACATTGATAAAAAGACTTTCTAAAGTACTTAGGATATTCCAGCAATCAGTTTTGACTTTAGTAGATTGATGTGTATTACAGATTTGTTTACATGTTTCTAGAATTCTTTGTAATGTTTCTATATGAGGCTGTATATAAGATAGATCAGAATATGTAACTATTTTCCAATGATTATTATAATATTTCAGTGCACCAATCGGATCGTAGAAAAGAACTGGACTATTAATGGAATATAATTGGTGTGATCATGTTTGGTCCTGCGAGGAGTCCTGGCGCGACGGCCCTGGAAGGGAATTATCATGGGCTGGTTTAATTTCATCAAAATGATGTCTAACATGTTTACGATTAATTAAAAGAGTAACGTTATTATTATTATGTACTTTAATAATTCTATATGGGCCTTTCCAAATGCTAGAAAGGGCTTTGCGTAATCTATGATGTTGCTTTAAATATACCATATCTCCGACATTATAAGTAATATTTCTAGTATTTTTATCATAATAAATTTTGGAATTCTCTTTACTACGGCGGATATTTTCTCTGGCTATGTTTCTAGTATTTATAAGCTTTTGTTTCAAAGTTTTTATATAATCAGGGTATGTGACTGTTGGTTCGATATCATAAATGGAACTTGGCAGGTTTGGTTTACAACCAAATAGTAATTCATGTGGTGTAAAATTAGTAGAAGAATGAACAGACGAATTGTAAGATACAAGAGCAGTTGGGAGATATTTATGCCAATCATCTTGATTGTCGTTCACGTAAGATTTCAAATATTCTTTCAATGTGGCGTGACTTCTTTCTAGAGTGCCATTAGTTTGAGGATGGTATGGAGTAGAAAAAAGATGTTTTATTTTGAAAAGAGAAGTTATTTGTTTGTATACTTCGGCAATAAAATGAACACCTTGGTCGGATAAAAGAGTCTTAGGAATACCAAAATGAGAAATAAATTTTATCAAACAGTCAGCTGTTTGTTCAGCTGTTGAATTAGTAATAGGGTAAGCCATGGAGTATTTTGTTAAATCATCCTGAAATGTTACTATGTATTAGTATTTTTCCAGACCTGATTCGGGTAAAGGGCCAACAATATCAGTTGCTATTCTTTGGAGAGGTTCCTGGCATGTAGAAGTTATCTCCATCGGAGCTTTATTGCAAGCACGTAAAGCTTTATTTTGTTGGCACTGTGGACACCGCCTAACATATGATTCAATATCATTCTTCATACCTTTCCAATAAAAAGAATCTTTGAGTTTATTATACAAACGTGTGGAACCAATATGTCCACCAATGGGAGAGTCATGATTGGGGTCATTGGGGGACATGGGGGTCGGGGTCCGGGTAAGACAAGAAACAAATGTGTGAATGTGTATGATATTTATAAGAAACATGTAAGGCTACAATAAAGACACTACAAAGCAAATAACTAGATAATTCTTAAGCATAATCTACATTACTCTTAGCACTAAAATAGGTAAGCACTTAATACTTAGCAAAATCTAAAGCTACACATTAACTGCAAAATAAAATTACAAGCAACGAAACATAAAATGAACTATTAGTTCTTTTATTACGTACATGAGAGCATAAAATCATTATAAAATTTTATTAATTATAAAAGTAAAAGGGGAAAACAATAAAACTAAATATAAAAAGAAAAAGGGAAAACAAATAAATAAAAAAACAAATTTCTACTCGAGGCTCGAAGCAGGAACATTAAGAAGTCGCCCGATGCATGTATTGCCGCTCTAAGTAATAGGCTATACTTGTCGACAACGATCCATCTCAAATAAGGATATAGTATTGTCTTTCACTGTCCTCATCTTTTAAAACAAATAAATTTATTGATAACACTTCATATCAGAGATGCAGGAAGGCGTAATTGTCACAATTAACTTGATGGGCGTTTCCATAGACTGAAATAATTGCACAATCTAAGAATACTGTTCCAGGATTACTCAGACTACCAAACAACGTATAGTATTAAACACTTAAACAGTTGCACTTATAAAATTAACGTTCCACGAATATAAGCTTCTATTTAAAATATATATGGTTCACTGATGCACAGTTTTAATATATTTAAGCAAACTTATACGCCTTTAAACTTTAAATGTCTGACAAGTATTACCGCTACGTCTTACTATTCTTTACTCTCACGACTCGTCGCGAACTCGGCCCTCAGCCGTTTGTCCACAGTTCCTACCCTCCAATCCTTTTATGAAGTTCGGAAACATCGTCCCATCTCAATTATCATCACAACCGGTTATCTGAGTTACCAGTTCTCATCTTTATAAGAAGAGCACCTAAACCTTAAATGCATATTTGTTTCTGTAAGACGCGGCGTTTCATATAGTAAAATTTCAAATTACAGTTTATTCATTCTGAGCTAATAATGAAACGAATGTACATGGATTCTTTCAACACTTTCCGTACTCGAGAAATCGAGAAATGTGTTAAAGCATTTATAAAAGAAAGAGAACGTTCCACTTGTTCAGCCGTAAATGTTCTTCTCAACGATTTTGAGAATTCGATAAGCGGTTATATGCATGATCTATTGTTTCTCACTCTTGCCATATTATCTAAACAAACTACGTAATACATATATATCTTCCACACATACGTTATCCTACAAAAGTAACCAAAACTGAAGTCATGAATTGATGGGGTGCAGTATTTAAAAAATATTTTTATAATAAGAATTTTTTACATCAGTAGGAAAAAACAAAACTGAAAATGAGGAATATAAACAAAACACAAGAAGAGGACAAAAATAGGGTTTTTCATGATCTACCATTAAAATATCACCCACTTTCACGAAAACTCTTTTCTGAAATCTCCCTATGTCCCGCAGTATGACTTCTTATCTCTCTCCATTATACTGTTCCTTGCACAGTGGTTTTCACTTTTGGATAAGAGATCTACTTTGAGAGCTCGGCAGAATGATGTCAGAGTAGATAGTGTGAGTCCTCCTGCAAGAGATTGTTGATTCTCAGCTTCCATATGCTTAAAAAGAAGTATATATAATTTACTGTTCGTTTTCCCGCGAACACCTGTTTGCACCGAACCTGAAAGGCGGATTCGGTCAGCATCCCGAATACTTGTTTTGGGAGCATGATAACTTTGGCCTCATTTCCATTGCTTCTAAATTTATCTGCAAGTTGTGACCGAATCCGCCAGGTGGTTGTCATATTAGTAACAGTTTGGAGAATGCCAAGGTCTTCATTTTGTGTTATGATAATAAAAAAATTGCATGGTACACAACCTGTCCAGCTGCTATGTCGTCCATAGCTGTTACAATTATCCACGTGTACCCCATAAGATGTTTATATAGGAGCCGCATTCCTTTGCCGGAAAAATCTCTCTCTTCTGGTTGCATTATTTCCTTTTCTCTCTTTATTTTGCATTTAGCCATCTTTTCTTTAGTGGCAGGGCAGTTATGATAAAGTTTAGCGAGAAAAAGGCCCTCAGAGCATTCCTTGAAACTGCAATCAATATCACATCAGCGAAAGCACTCATCGTAGGAGCTATTTCCTCTGCCCGCTTTCCATATATGGCATTGCAAAATCGAAGAGCATGTGGGATGTGGGCCAGATCCCTCTTGACTGCCTCCATCCACTTTTGGCGATATAGGTTACGAGATTTTTAAGACGCAATAACTGCAGTTAATGGGCCCAAAATCTGTGCCATGACGGACCTTCTTTTCGGCTTGTAGGTTAGTAACAGTATGTGGTGGGCGGGCGTTAAACCCATATTGCGAAACATCTATGTAATCAGTTGTAGCCCCTCATTTTGCAATGGGTATGCGTAACACCCCAACCGGATTTCGTCATATCTCATCTTGAATGCGGAAATAATATTGAACAAGAGATTAACAATGCCATACCAATTATTAATTTCTTAACGATTGGATAGAGTGTATTGTTGAGATTGGGTTTTTGTCTCCTCTCGTATAATTTTAGTGACGTCGTTATATGTTATAGAATAGACTTTACGTTCACTTGAAATTGTTGCGGACTAATCTAAAATAGATGTCATCTTGATGTTCGACATTTTGCGTAATATGTTGTGACCTCCTTGTAACACGCTCATCACTTTTTATTTTTATTTTATTAAGAAAACCAACAGCTTTACAAGTTATATATCTTATAACTATGTGTAATGTAGTAATGCCAATATCAGGTTTCCCTTAAATTAACAAATGACACTGCAACAATCAGACTTTGTTAGTGCTGAAGTTAACTCTATAAATATGCCAAGGAATTCAAGGATGCCATCCGCTTAAACCTATCAATATCATAGATAATTAAGTAAATACTATACTATACACTACACTAACTATACACGGCACAAAACAAATCAAGTAGAGAAATACATTGTACATGTTTCCGAAAGTAATATATAAGTACCACCCATTATAGACATACACAGAGAGAGACTTACACTTGGTGCGCGATTGTGATATTGAGCATTTTCTCACATAAGGAGACCTTGGTGTAAATAGTTAAACCAATTGATACAATACATTTTAGTACACTACTCTTTTACTGGACAATATTATTTAATTAAATTTGCTAACGATTTTGAAATCACCCTACGTAAAATAAATTTCAATCAGTTATCATATCGTTAGAAATTTATAACGTTGTTCACGTTCAAAGAAAGTGATTGAAAAATATGCATTCGAAGTTTCTAGAACAACAATGGAACAACCGCTTTTCCATACATTCGAATTTTATGAGAATCGGATTTTATTTCTTATTTATTTTTCTTTTTAATTTTGACGTATTTTGAATATTTATACGAAAAAGTTTTTAAGTATTGATTAGATTGATTGATTAAGATTTATTTTTCAATACTTGGATACATTTGAACACGGAATAATGTTAATTTAAAAACATCGGACAAGAAAAAACCTACCGCGCAGAAATATTAGGAAACGCTCTACTGTAGTTTTTCTTTAGTCTATTTTTTGTTTTTGTAAGTTCGATATTTTGTGGTTTTTCACTGTTGAAAGCATTTTGCAGGCAAGAATTTCCTTCTTCATAACAACTTTTTTTGGCGTATCCAGAATTGAGCCAATACTTAATGATAGGATTGGGCATTAACCCTACATAGCTAACCTTCTGGTGTACTCTATTTTAGCTAACCATCCGTCGAAACGACGGGTATTTGATGATTATATTTTTTTGGATGATATAATTATGAAAATCGTCTCGTTTTTATAGTTTTATTCTTAGATATGATTGTAAACAAAAATGAATTTTAGAATTTATCCTTATTTATTCATTATTTAAATTAATTTTAATCATTCTTAGACCTCTAATGAAATAGACATATTTTTAATTAACCACTTTGGCATGCAAAATCAGCTAGTAAATTAAAATAACATAATCAGTTTTTTGGCTACAAATGGCACGTAAAAACATAAAAGTAACTGGTAAATTAGTAAAACGTCAAATAAATAATTTTTCTTTTTCGCAAGTGACACAAAAGTCTAAAGATATGTTCACCACATATCGCAACGTTACAGTTGGCGCACACGCTTTTGGTCATACGCTTTTTCTTGTATGGTTTTCTCGACCTAAAGATGTTGATGCCTCCTCCTCATTTTTATTCCTTTGAAGAGGAGATGACTGGCGACCTGGATTGTAGCATTGAAAGAACGCCTCTGATCTTCTCTTTCACTTGGGTAGGCATCGTTGTTTTTGTCTTACCTTTAGCTAGGGCTCTACAAGTTGAAGATTTAGTTTTTTCCATAAAATCTCTGCGTGGGGTTAGTTTTTGTCCTGCTGTCATATGTCCTGCTTTAATGGTTTTGTCTTGCCTGACGATACTGTCGAAACTCCCCCTTCCCTCGTTCACTAGTGATCTATCACTTTTCAGCAACGATTTATTTCTGTTTCTACTATTAGGCCTCCGATATTCAGGAACTCGATACTTCTTTGGAGTTCCGGTCGCATAAATGTTTCTGACTAATAAAATATCAAGAAGGGGAATAAAGATAAAATGTCTATCAATGTAGATTGAAGAATGTTTAGGTAAGGTGTCTACGAGTTTCAACACAACTCGGCCGCCAATATCAAGTTTCTCCGGTATTGGATGAAGTGCTGACTCTGCAGTGGTCCCCCTCCTTGATATAAATACAAGTCCAAAGGAAGGCCATTAGGATTCGCTAATAAAAAAACTTTGATACCTTCAGGATTCGGTTTTCCCCTTACGACCTGCTTCATTTTACATTTACTTGTAAATGGTATGATTTGCTCGTCTATGGCGACGTTTTGGCATCTTTAGTTTTGTGTACAGCCGGCGTAGATCGTTGAAACTAGTGGACGAATTTTCCAAAATCTATCTATAGTTTTCATAGAAGAAGATACTAGCTGATCATCAACGACTTTGATGTTGCTTCTCAACTGGAAATATCTATTCCGTGTTATTGCATTAGCGACTAGTGCTGCCCTGGTTTCGGCAGTCCAGAACGTACGCATTCGAGGAATCCCTAACATACCCATAACCATTGAAACGCCTACGAAAGTTCGCATTTCTTCTAAATTTATATTTAAATATCTTCCAGCTCTATGGATGCTGCAAATGTTAGTACAGTGTGACATTTGCTCAAAGAAATCAGGTTTGATGTAATGGCAAAAGTATTCATAGGATGGTTTGCAGATCGTTGGTTCAACTAATGGTGGAGCCTCATTAATATTTCTTGAAGAATTCTGGTTGTTATTTGTACGATCCCATCGCAGCTTTAAATTTATTGATATCCTAACTCGCTGTAGTGAAACAAGCGGCTCTTTGTCTGAAGAATTCCACTCACTACCATCAGGTGACCGAGGCAATACTTCTTCGGGAATGTCTTCATGCACTGTAGAAAAGTTTTCCTCCTCCTCATCATCAACGTCTTCAAAATCTGACTCGTCAAAGTTGAACAACGCCGACTCGATGTCAGCATCGGATAATCCTGTAAAAACCAATATTTTAAATCATGAGTGTCGAAAGTGTCACCAGTGACACTCGAAGAAAATGTCGAAAATAATAAACAAAATAGAAACATTTTGAAAGTTCTATCGCAAAATCCAACAGATCTATGAACATAGCACACAAAAAACACAAAACAATAACAAATTACATCTTAAAAATAATATTTACCTCTCCGATAATCCATCGTGTCGGTACTTATACTAATTCTAAACGTCAACTAATATTTACGAAGGCAAAAACCCTCTCGCGTGATCCGCAGCCACCTTTGAAACATTGTACGTAATACAACATTTCATTTAACTGACGTAGTTTTCACTCATATCTAAAGATGGCGCAGGAAAAAAAATACGCAAGTGTCACGAGTGACACCGGAGGTATCAAGAGGTTAGTTTAGACAGTGTCTAGTTTGGACAATGTATCTAATATAGTTTAAAAATAAATAATACTTTGACATTATCCATTGAGGGAATATTACATTTTTGAGATAATAGTGTGACTTTTAACCGCATGTCAGGGATGGTTGTCACAGTGTAGGGTAGGTAGTCACATAGTTAATCAAGGGGAAAATATAAAAAGCTTATTTAAATCAAATGAGTATTTTTATTAAAATATTTTATTCATTTTTAAAAATATATTTCATCAAAATTCGCATTAAGCGAATAACTTGCATGTCACGATATTAGAATTGTATTAATGAAAACATCATAAGTATATTTATAGCCAATCACTAATCTTTGGAGGCGATATATTTAAATAAAAGTACTTAAGTAAATAATATAATACAGTTTAAGTCAATCTAAAAAATCAGTCAGAATATTATCATGCTTCGTAAGCCCAAAACTTGCAATCTTTGCACTATTACAAGTACACAGTGTACAAGCTTGTACACTCCTGTATCCTGTAGAAGAATATGACACTTGACAGATGGTAAGAACTGACTAATCTTATTCGGCGGCATGTAGAATGTTCTAATAGAAGCTCACTTCAAGATGTAGCCGATCTTGTCTATGACACCTCAGACATATGGTAGTACAGCAGGCACGCGCTCGACTGTGGCTGGCTTTACTCCGTCACTGTGTGAACCTGCTTGACGTGCTGAAACTCGGCAGCCAGGTGTTTGCTGTCACAGATTCCTCGTGCTCTCTGTAACAAAGATTTGCCCACAGTAGCTAATTGTGAAGGATGGTGGTGAGATTCGCCGTTTAAATATCGGTTCGTATGGGTTTTTTTTAATACACTGTGCGACCTATGGTTTTGTTGACTAAACACATCTAGAAAAGCTAAGGAATTATGAGGTGAGGCTCACACATATCTCCCATTGTCGCCGATATATTCGTGGAAGACTTTGTGTGACTTGTTATTAAGTTTTGTTAGTGTCAGATTGTAGGTATTCAATTTGGACATAATAAAAAACCTGATTTTTCCTCAGGTATATTGTAAAACGGCTTTTAAGTCGTAAACAACGATCTTGTTCACTACATCTGCTATAATTCTATCACTTATTTATTCCTTTCTATTAAAGCCCTTCTCTTTTAAATGAGTTTGAAACTCAACTCTATGAGCAACTATTCGCCACTGTCAGCGTTCTTATAACTGGCACATAAATCGCACTGATCTTTTTTAGGTCAAAATGAACCTAGATTACAAACTGTATTAATGACCATGTAATAGTTTTTGTAATTACCGGCTTCTTTACCATTATCATTTTGTGCGTTTACAAAATATTTGTAAAGATCTTTAACTGTTTTACCATCTTCTTTGTATTCTCTATTAATGATTGAACGTAACCCACTTATAGCACGCGTCACGTAAAAAGAACGCTGGAAGAAAGTGGTGGAAGTGTGTTTGCGCATGGGTACAGTCTCGCACGAAAGTTATGTGCCTATTAATTTATTTTTTAACTAGGCTTTCGCTCGCGGGTCGTGGCTTCTTACCTATATATTTGTTATTCTTATTAGTTATAACATTGAAAAATATATTAGATAAAATATCAATAAAATGAATTAAAAACATGTTTGAATTATGTATTATAGAATGTTTAATCGAAATAAAATTAAAGTAATGTTGAAACTCCTTCCATTAAGTCATCATGCGTGACGTGAAAACCAGATGAGGGCGCGGTGTTGGTGCTAGAAGTGGCCATTTCATCGTCGTCGCTGTCGTCACTTGAGCTTCCATCCTCATCTGAGTCGGAATCATGATCCCCTATGTGGATAGCAAATGTTTCTGTCATCATGTCCACCACATGATCGCTTTTACAGTAATCAGCCTCTATTTCTTTTACCTTCGTGCATAGCTTCCCCCATTCTGTTGCTCCCATTAAATTTACTTTTTCATGAATCAACTCAGTTATACGTGTCAGGTTCCAAGTTACATTTTTACAGGCAACATAACTTTTTGTTTGGGACCAGGCCATTTCAGTAGGATTCAGGTCCGGGTGATATGGGGGCAAACGAAGTACAGAATGTCCTGCTTCGTTCAAAATAGCATCGATATTAAATTTCTTAAATTTATCTTTGCATTTTTTTATTAAGTTGTACAACTCCGGCTTTAGCATGGTCTCTTCAAATTCAATACCTTTTTGACGAAGCCAGGTTTGCATGTCTGCTTTCTTTGAATTGGACGTTGGTGCAGCATCGAGTTGTTTATTGTGGTACGATGCATTATCGACTACCACGACTGAATTAGGCGGTAAATTTGGTATCAGTTGAGTACGGAGCCACCGCTCGTATTTTTCAGAATTCATATTGTCATGGTAGTCGCCGCTTTTTGTACCGGCTTTAAACGTCAGTAAAGCATTCGGCACAAAACCTGCATCGCCACCCGCATGCACTATGACTAAGCGGCTACCTTTAGATACAGGTTTTTTAATGCCCTTGGTGGAACCGTCTGTCCAAGCATGGTGAGACGCATGGGAACTATCGACGTATGATTCGTCAGTGTAAATGATAGGTCTTACTTCCTCTCTATATTTTTTAATCTTTCTCAGATATTCAATTCTTTGAAATCGAATTTGTGACTGCTCAATTAAGATTTTTCTATTGGTTTCCGTTTTTTTCCATTTAAAACCCAAGTTTTTCAATACTCGCCTGAGACTTGCTGCAGATCCTTGGAAATGTATGTCATCCTGTAACTTCCTTTGCAACTTGCCTATGGTAGGCAATTCTTTTTCAGTAACGTGAAAATTATGGATCATTCTTTTTATAACACCCTGGTCAAAGCTGTCAATGTCTGTTATTGGTTTTGTTTCTTTTCTTTTATTTTTGCCGGGAGTTCGGAAAACAGTAAGAAATTCCGAATCTTTTGAACCCTTTACTATTCGTCTCACTGTCGACTCGGAACATTTTGTTGCCTCTGCGGTCCGTTTCATACATTGTTTTAAATTATTAACTACATTATTATCAGATTCCCTCTTCATAAAACAGTATACGTCATAAATCATTTTTCTCACTTCTCTATGTAAAACCATTTCGTAATTTAAAACTTTTGTGCGCGATGGTATTTTTAAAAGGAACGTAACGTGGATACTACGCGGGAAGCAAAGCTCAACTGATGAACCAATAGCGCATCGGTAAACATTCGGCGCGTGGCTCACCCGCCCCGCGCCCTACCTCATAACACCAAGTAGACCGATAAATCGCCTATGCGCAGCTTGACCGCCAGCGTTCTTTTTACGTGACGCGTACTATAACATAGTGTGATTCCATCCGAGGAATAGATTCAATAAGTTTTTTAATGTCTGTCACCAATTTGGGATCTATCTGTTTATTGAGGCCATGCTTTCCATGTTCACATGTATGCGACGACGGTGATACAACACACCTTGGCTATCATGATTTTCTATTGCAAGTCGTCTTTCCTACGATTGTATAAGCTGCAATCAAATGTAATTTTGCGTAATGTCTAACCTTTTATTGTTTTATATAACAAATTTTGCTCATATTTGTAATATCCAAACTAACGGATATTTCATTAAGCTGAGATCACCATTCATTGCTGATCTGTGAAATACCTACTATAAGATTCAAATTTATTGGTATGTCTTTAGATTCTTGCGATAAAATTGTTATACTTCATTGCACCATATGCATTTGAATTATATTCAGAGTAAAATTTAATTCATTTTTGATAATTCTAAATTTTGAAAACTGTAATGAAAGGGATCATGTGTAATATTTTTTAATTTTCCAAAGAAATATGCAATTTTTGCTATCCCGTTTCTTTCTAAAATATTGTTTTATTTCCAGTCATCTACTTCTATAGACAAATATCTTTCTGAATCTGAAGAATCATTACTATTGTTGTAGTGAGGCCTCGGTGACGTAACATAACATATGGATACTACAGACTTCTATATGGCGCGATCTTTACTCACCTCTCTCGCCTCGTTACATCCATATATACCTACCAATATATGCTTGTCGGTTAATGTACTTTTTATCTGACCTGCGGATTCGGCGTCGCGCGTATAATGACCCTTGTCAGCAAAATTTTAGGTATTTAAGTTTCACTGCTGGATTTATATATAAGTATTTTAATGATTTTTTTACGAAATTATCGTTTCACTTAGATGTACTAACATAATAAAGCGTAAATAAACCTAATTAAACGTTGTGAAAAAATCATTTTTTTTTTCATCGGGATCGATTTTTTGTCCAATCTTCAAAGGTATCCTTAGTACTAACTTCTGTCTTCGTTTTCGGGAGCGTTTCACTAACACCCTATATGAAATATTAGTCGAAACGTATTTATTTTAACTTGAATCGAAGAAGTCTGGGACTTAATTCATCTAATGACTTTGAATGTCATGGTCTGAATGTATGGTCTGTATCTTGTTGATCTTTCCTTCTTAATTTTTGAAATAAATTTAAGTCACAGTTATTGTACTTATGTGTTTTAAGTACAGATTTTAAAATAAATAGCTGTGTGATTTAGCCTGAGAGCTATTCAGTCCCGAGGAACCATCTTGGTCAATCTAAAAATAAAATATATATGAGAAATAAAAACTATCCGTATTCAAATACAAAATGTAATGTATATATCATAAAACAAAGTCTGTTTAGGCTAATGTAAAAATCTACTTTAAATTTGTTTCAGTTGTTATAATTAAGTTGGTAGTTAAACTGGATGAGTTTTTTGTAAATGTGCTATAATAAGTATCTAAGGGGATTTTATGCACATGTTCTGTGTTTAAATATACACTATTATACATTAATTAAGGACATATAGAACTGGCCTGTATGTTTATAATTACCACAGTTTAACAGCCAGGTACTGCATTTAATAATACAATAGTCGATAATATTTCTGCTGAATCTTCCTTCAATTTTTAAGGGCCTACGCAGACCGGGACGGCATGGCAAGGGATTTTGCCGTGAGTCAGCACACACTGGCCGCTTAGATACCGCGGCATTCCAGCACTTTGCCACGGCGTGCCGCGGGTCGACAAAGCACGCCTCAGCGACTCCTGCTGCCTGATACACTTTTAGTCTTCAGTTGCGTTTGATCGAGTGTTGGTGTGCCTCAGTTTTAAAATGGTAGATTGGGGTTTGGTGTTGATATCGATTATTGCAGATGAAGAAGAAGGTGCACAGGCTAATGCTAGGGATAGAAGACGATTTTGGGTTGATAATTTATGGAAAGAAAGGGAATCAAAGGGTGAATTCAATCATTTATTTAAAGACTTAAAATACGTGTAAAAATTTTACGACTATCATAGAATGGATTATGAGAAATTTCAAGCACTGTTGAATATATGTCGACCATACTAGGCTGCACTAAAAGTATCGGGAATGGAATATTTTCACTGTTCCTGTTATATTAAAATCTTTTTAATTGAAAACTCCTTGGTTTTAAAAATCGTAAACCATTTATTTATTTAAAGAAAGATTCTCGGTCTTGTCACAAGGTTTTGTCAAACTTGTTTAGTCATTGAGAAAATAGAATTGACTCGAGAAAATTCAAGAGCGATGATTTATTATGACTTTCGATGTGGTTTAACACAAAAACAGTGTGTTGGCCGGATGATTTCTGCATTTGGTGATGAAGCCCCATCCAAAACCACAATTTATAGCTGGTTTGCTGAATTTCAACGTAGACGTGTCAAGCTCTCCCGACTCATCAGTGGATGATCCCCGTCAGGGTCGTCCAAAAACTGCAGTCACCCAAGAAAACGTTGATGCTGTGCGTAAGCTGATTGAGGAAGATCGACATGTGACATACCGAGAAATTCAGGCAACTTTAGACATTGGCATGGGGTGTTGCAAAAAAATGAGTCAAATACAAGTAATCTTGCGTGAACAATTAGGTGTAAGAAAGTTGTTTTCCCAATGGATACCGCATTCGCTCTGTGAAGAGAAAAAAGCGGCTCGCGTTACTTGGTGCGTCAGAACTCTCGAAAGATCCACGAGGATCCTCAAACTGTATACAACATCAGGGACAATCCTGGATATATGCGTAGGAACCCGAAACAAACCAGTCACGAGTTTGGGTGTTCGAAAATGAGTTAAATCCAACAAAAATTGTTCGTTCACGGAGTGTTGCAAAAAAAATGGTGGCCACGTTTGTCTCCAAAACCGGCCATGTTACGACTATTCCTCTTGAGGGACAAAGAACGGTTAATGCAGAATGGTATGCTAGCATTTGTTTGCCACAGGTCGTTTCTGAACTCCGTAAAGAAAACTGCAACCGCCGCATCATCCTCCATCACGACAATGCGAGTTCTCACACCGCACACAGAACAAAAGAGTTTTTAGAGCAAGAAAACATAGAATTATTAGACCATCCCTCGTACAGCCCCGACCTAAGCCCTAATGATTTCTATACTTTCCCTAAAATAAAGAATAAGTTGCGTTGACAGAGATTTTCATCACCTGAAGAAACTGTGGACGCCTACAAAACGGCCATTTTGGAGACCCCAACTTCCGAATGGAATGGTTGCTTCAATAATTGGTTCCATTGTATAGAAAAATGTGTCAAAATTCGTGGAGAATACTTCTAAAAGCAATAAATACATTTTTAAATAGTAATGTTGTGTCACTTCCTTGATTCCCGAAATTTTCAGTGCCGCTCTCGTATATCGAAAAACAGAGGACCAATTTTCGCAACCCCATTGAAGCCGATCAAAGATTATCCTTGTGTTTGAGGTGGGTAGTCAAATTATTGTTTTATTTTTGTGAAGTTTTATTTTTTCTTCTATTATTAAATTAAAAAAAACAATCTTTTTTTTCCAAGTACAATCATGTATTGTAGACACAATAACGATTTTCAAGTTTTTGCACTGATAAATCTTCTCACTGATAATCCCTGGATCTTTATTTGTTTTTACTTAATTTAGAGTACCTACTAGTTTAGATTAGTTTCGTACTCAGAAACTGCAGTTTTGTAGCCAGACCCAGCAACTTCATAGCCAGGGCCCGAGGCGGCTTCATAACCAGACCCTGAAGCAGCTTCGTAGCCAGGGGCAGAGGCGGTACCATAACCAGACCGTGAAACAGCTTCATAACCAGAACCTGAGGCGGTTCCATAGCCAGACCCCGAAGCAGCTTCATAACTGGAGCCTAAGGCGGTTCCAAAGCCAGACCCTGAAGCTGCTTCATAGCCAGATCTTGAGGTGGTTTCATAGCCAGACCCTGATACAGCTTCATATCTCAAGCCTACCGCGGTTCCACAGCCAGGTCTTGAAGTAGAAGCGGTATGGCATGGTCGTTGATGTTGCAAATTGCTAGAGACATCTTCAGATGTTGGAGCTGGAGTTCCCTCTTTGTAGTTTAATTCGGCGTCAGTTATCATATTAAATATTTGTCTCTTTGTTTGGACCAGCACTCTTTCTAAAAGTTTTTTTTATTGTGGTAGCCATTGTTTGAAAGAACGAATCAATGGGGTCAACCTCCTTTTTCGATTCAATGTATTTATTTAGTATTTCAGCAGTTGTTGTAGGTTCTGGTCTTATTAAAGAATGGTGTGAATCATTGGTCATTCGCGAAACTGAACGTTCGTCAATATCATCGACAGCGGATTCTGCGAAAGAAGTCTTCGTATCCTCTGAAGAGGAGTCCAAATTCGAGGTTTGTTTTCTGTGCTGAATGATTTTTTTCAAAAACTCCAGCTCTTTTTCAAACTTGATAGGGCGTCGCTTTGTGTACGGGTCACCACTCTTTGTTTTTCTGTTATTCAGAGCTTTCCTAAAATTATTACTTATATTACCCCATATTTTCTGGCATTTTTCACCTAAAACAAAACATAAGCAGGTAAAATGGTATAGAACCGGAATAAGTAGGTAATGGGAAAGGGCCTTAGATAGTGACTAGGTTAGCACCAGCTATGTTTATGGGATTATATTGAGCTAATCTTTTTCTAAGTAAAAATTGAGGACCTTGCAGCTAAAGGGAGGCAAGTCCAAATTTCAAAACTGTTGGGTATTTAAAAAAAAGGTTTTTAAAAATTGATTGATGTACTTATGTCTTATCGTTATATGGTATTATATAATATGAACATATATACACATTTTATTCAAGATTTAAGGCAATTGAAGAAGTAATAGAATTACTACGATTTTTTAAAGTTTGGATCTGCCTCCGTTTTGCACCAAGATTGAAGAAAAATACTAGCCTATTTTGTATTAAGGATAATAAAACAGGTAAACACGGTTATTTTTTTTATTTCAAGAATTAGTAATCAGTCCACAAAGAATTAAACAATCAAAAGAAATACAAAAACGAATGAGTGCTGAACAAAAAAAAATAAAGGTTAACTTCAGCTTGATCATCGTCGTCTTCGCTAGAAATATCATCTGTTGGTCCGACAGCTTCACTTTTAAGGGCCCTGTAGAAATATAGTTTATTTGGTGGAACATAGTTCTTTACCAACTGCATAACATCGTTGTATTTAGCCTTTTTCAACGGCAATGCCTGATCATACAGCGGTTTCTGAGGCAGAACTGATAGTTGGGCTTGAGCATTTCTCATTATAGGAAAATAATCAAATACTGGTGTTCCCGTTGTAACACTGACTGCAATAGTTTCAATGTGGTCTTTACTATATTCAAAAATACGATATTGAGATATTTTGAATCGAATCTTCTCTGTATTTGTTATTACTTTTTTGAAATGACTGTCATAATGTTGGCTGAAGTTAAGTATCATATTTTGACTTGCATTTACAACTTTAAAATTTTTAGATGCTTGCGTAATACAATCGGGTTTTGCTACACGGGTATATAATATATGTGAGTTCTTATTTTGGTTTTTTGCGGAGAAAATGCTTCACCTGCTGGAATTTTAGGTAATGGCATATTCTGCTGATAATCAAATGTTAATACTTCGTATTCTTCATTGTTAAGAGCAAGTTGACTCTTCTCTTTAAATCAACAAAAAAGGTGTCGGCCTTGGCTTGATGAAGACTCTTCTCTATCTGTATTTGTTGGGTTTCATCGCTATCCAATGTCTTATCTTTTAGTTTGTTACTCAGCATGTCGCACTTCTTGCAAGTATCTGAACGAGGTGACCCAAAACTGTATTTAAAATTTTGTTTAAAGTATCTGTAGTAAAAATCAAATGATACTATAGGCTTAGCAAATGCTTCCAAGACCAAGCTCATGCTTTTTCAAATATAACTCGTACATCCTTTTAATGTTCAACTCTGGAGACAGATAATAACGTGAGCTTTTATTTCTACTGTAGTGTGACTCGCGACGTGGGAAACTTCTAATATGAGAGTCAACTTTAGAAACCCATTCACTTGGAATACGATTGGTCTATTTTGATGTTTTCCACGATTAGACTGAGCTGGTGTAGTTACAGTAGGATCCCGATACTCTTTAGCAACATTGTCTACACGCTTTTTGGATATTCCATGGATAGATGCAAAGCCATTTCTGCAAATTTGTATATTTCTATTTCCTAATTTAATATAATATTTGTGTGAACAACTCCGTTTCTTCCCCGTACCAGTTTTAGATCTTTCCCTTTCAACATTCTCAGTTTTTATTAAACCGCCTAATTATACGTTTTGCACATAGGTTTCTTCCAATTTATTAAAATTTTCCAATATTAGTTTCCTATCTTCTTCATTAATTTGAACAAAACACTTATACTTCTTACAACAACAATCCGGTCCAGTTTTTCTTTCGCCTATTTCACGGCCTTTATAGTTTAAATAGCCCTTTCCAGTAGCAATAGACTTCTTTATTACATTCCGTTTCCATTGTGATGGATTTGCGGATTTTCTTTTTTTCGGCGCTATGCCACTCGTCGATGGGCATGGATTATCTGTATTAAATTCATCCAAAATATTCATACCTTTATCGTTCGCCTCATTAGTTTGGTTTTGAAATGTCAACAAACCAATATCGCTTGCATCATCATCTGAACTGGTTGAACATGACTCGTGGACAGGCGGCTGGTAAATATCTGACGAGCCGCTACTAAACGGTTCAGTGTCACTCATTTTAATACACACTTAACGTATCAAACTTAAAACAATTATTTAAAAGAATAATACGCATGTCCTTTCGGGCCGAGCACATAACGTGCACTGACTTGTTTACAAATGATGTAATAATTTCATTTGTTGCAAGAAGGAGGCAGGTCCGGACCTGCTCCGTTCTTGCACCAAACAGAATAAGGTAGCAGATCCAAATTTTGTTACAGCGCGCTTGTTTGTCGTCGGATTTGCCTCCTAAATGCACCAAACCATAGCTAATTTTTTTGTTTAAAATGTAGGTGAAAAAAAAAGGTAACGGTTAAAATTTGGATCTGCCCCTCTTTTGCTGCAAGGTCCTCAATTACCACTGGCATTACGGTGAAGGAAAATATTGTAAGGAATTCGTAATTATATATAAATACATATATCGTATTATTTAATTGACTTTGTTTAACTGTGCCCTGTCTTTCACTCTGCCTCACTTACCCCTACTTATATTATCTTTCAGATTTTTGATTACGGAAAGTAGCTTCAAGTCTCTAGGTTACAGCTATCATATGGGGTTTAGTACAGTGCGCTCTATAGTACATGAAACTTGCCGAATCATTTGGAATGTCCTAAGCCCTTGTGTTATGCCAAAACCAACAAGGGAAAAACGGACGCGAATCGCGATGGAATTTGATGAAAAATGGAATTTCCCGAACTGCATCGGTGCAATGGATGGTAAACATTTCAGGATAAAGGCACCTCGCGATAGTGGAAGTCTCTACACAAACTATAAAAAGTTTTTTGGTATCGTACTACTAGCGGTTTTGGATGCAAATTATAAATTTGTGATTGCATATGTAGGATCATATGGATGAAATAGTCCTTTCGGACCATCAAGTTGAATTCGCATAAAGTTGAAATCTCAAAAAGTTGAACTTGTGTAATATTGAATCCTACAAAGTTGACTTCCCAACATGTTGAATTATGATTTCCCAAAAAGTTGAATTTGTATAATGTTGAATCCCATAAAGTTGAATCCTTTAAATTATTGAACTGTTTTTTAGATTACCTACATCCCACCTATGGAATACCTATATGAATCGAATAACATTATAAGGTAAGGGCAATTTTGACAGATAAACAAATTAGTAGTTGGCGTACGCTGTTTTATTAACTTAACTAAAATACAAAATCAACTTTCTTCCACTTAAAATAAGGTACGCTGTTTTATTGAACTAAACTTAACTAAAATACAAAATCAACTTTCTTCCACTTAAAATAAGGTATAATTAAAAAAATAAGTTAGAAACCAAGTTTTAATATGGTTAAATGGATTTACATTAGAAACATTTTTGGTGAAATTACTCTTCTTTTCAGTTGTTTTAATAAAGATGCATACTTAATGTCAAACAAAATATCTTTCGTCCGCCTATTTTTTTTGAATGGTGCAAATAACAAATACCTTTCGATCTTTATATCGTAATGCTTCATTTCTTTTAAAAGTGTACGGAATACGAGGTACAAGTTAGGGTTTCGTGGTAATCTCGCATTAATTCGCCGATGGTACCCCTCGCAATTATTTGTGGTCCTATGTGTGTCTCCTGCACAACTTACCATATTACGATCTTTGTCATACCATTGGGCTTGGAAGTATTTTAAAAAAGACTTCATTTTTAGCGTAGATGGTGCAGCCTGTTGAATACTTTTCCAGGCTTGTTTCATGAAAGTGGGAGGAATTAAAACAAAATAGGAGCACATTCTAACGATGCTTCTTGCTTTTCTGTCGCTACTTGTAGGTCTTGTCACTCTTGCAATTTTGCATTCTTTTGCTTTTTTCCAGACGGCTTGATTAAAGTGCTGGAAACACCCGGATAAATGAACATCTGGAAATATTGCTTTGACAGCATTAATTTGAGCCGTTTCGTAATCACATTTAAATGTTTTTATTACCACAGGCAGCTTCTCTTTTATCAAATTGAATAATCTTGTATAGGTTTTTTCTGTTTTATTTGGAAGAAATGCATATATAACAGGAAATACATTAACTGTGGTTTCGTCTGAAAATACGTCTAGATGGATTATGTAAAGTTGATAAAAAGGGCGTGGAGAAACTTTGAATGTACCATCACCACTGTAACTACACAGTTCTGACGATTTCATTGCTGTTATGGCAGTCTGAGAACAAAGTACGATAATTTTTTCTTGATCTCCATCTTCATAAACCGTGATATTTTTAGGCAGTCCCTTATCACATCTTCAACTCTATTGAAAACTAGCGAATTTGTGCCCAAGAATTTTTTCCGGGTTCTATATAAAGTACTTCTTACTGAAATAAATGGTGGTATTTCGGTTACAGGAAATGAATGATTGGTTTCGGTGAAATGTTGCACCATTTCTTCATATATTTGCTCGATAGAACATAAATTAATACACACTTCTCTCTTAATGTCGTTTATAAGCCGTGTTACTTTAATTTTATTAGTATCCGGTGTGCAGGTATGTTTCGTTTCACGTTTTACGTCACATTCATCTTTGGTTAAAGTAACAGTTGCAGAACAAACGTCCCGATTTGTGCACTTCCATCGGGAGGTGCCGTTCTGATTTGTTTTACCATCTTTGGTTAATGTGTATTTGTTGTAAAGGACACTGTTTTATAGGGAGCCATTTAGAAATTTACAAATAAAGAAATTTGGAGTATCCTATCATAAACAATTTCATGAATAAACTGATTATTTACAAATGACATTGTCAAATTTATGACAAGCATTTAACATAAACTAGTTATCTAGAGAGGTTTTAGTATCTAAAGAGGTTTTGCGTGTGTAGATAAAGCCCGTAACTGGAAGCTATTTATAGTCAACATACTTATAGGGATATCCAACCTTTAAGGATTTCAACTTTATAAGAATTCAACATTTTGCGAAATCGAGAAAAAACGACATTGTGTGTAGTCATTAGTGGTAAATTAAACTTTTTGAGATTTCAACTTTATGCGAATTCAACTTGATGGTCCGAAAGGGAAATAGTGATGGAGGTATAATGCAAAACTCAATTTTTGGAAAAAAATTGACTTCTAATGCCCTCGGTATTCCCCCAAAAAACGTTTACCGAAGACAGATCTTGAGTTTCCCTATGTTTTTGTAGCAGACGAGGCTTTTCCGTTAACCACAAACATTATGAGACCATTTAGTAGCGATCGATTGACAGATGAAGCAATGAAAATATACAATTATCGTTTGAGTAGAGCCAGGCGTATCGTCGAAAATGCATTTGGTATACTTCAAGAACGTTTCTAATTATGTCAAAAAGGAATTCAGGTTCAACCAAAATATATTGATAATATCATTTTAGCATGTACTTGCTTACACAATTTCATCATAGGTGGTACAAGCACAGAAAGCCAAAATATAACAAGTGTAAGCATTAATTTAGAAAACGATAATAATATGAACAATGCATTAGATGGTTATGACGGTACGGGAGATGTTTAAAGATTACTTTAAGTCTGATGAGGGCTCGATTCCATGGCAAAACGATATTGTAAATAGACATTAATACCGTGTTAAATCAAAAATATTTACCTGTTTTATTCATTTCTATTCCAATTCTTTTCCACGCATTACTCTTCATCTGAGTGTTCATATAATGTTTTGATGACATATTATATAAATAATCATAGGCTTGAACTAAAGTTATTAATTTTTCCTCCATGTTGGAATAAAAAACTGGTCTCCGAAAAAATCACGTAGGTACACAGTCGTCAAAGACGCTGGCGCAAATGAATGGTCAATGGTGTGCATTCCCCGCTTCTCTACCTCCGCCGCCGCACCCCACAGTAAGCGGGCTGCATACGAGACGATATCGGTGGCGATCTAGGGTGGAAAGAAATCGGGGCTTTTATCGGGGCAGACCCTACACACGGGCCTGCCTAGCAGTACACGTTCGGACTTGGAGCGGAACGCATATGCAGTAGAGTTCTTCAAAATGCCTCCGACTCTCTTAAAACACCAACGTGTTGGTTTTGAATTAGCCCTTTCGGTTAATTTATTCGAAAATAGAAAAAGAGGAGTTGCTGGGTGAAAAATGGCTCCAAAAGAGAAAAAAATTAAGCCACATAAACGTACTAAATGGTCTGTAATCCAAAGACATGATTAATTTTCTCCGGATGGATGAAGACAGTTTTTACAACCTTCTAGAATTTTTCTATATTTATGATTTGGCAACTTATATAAAAACATAAATTTCTCCTACCTATGCTATTTAGTTATTTCTTCTCTTTGTTCATTTCTGCTTTGGTCAAAATCGGGTTATGTACTACACACAAAAAACAAAGAAAGAACAAAATCGGGTTAGGTACCACACACAACAAACAAAGAAATAAAATACTTTTGTGTAATTATATATATATATATATATATATATATATATATATGTATATATATATATATTTATATATATATATATATATATATATATATATATATATATATATATATATATATACTTTTTTTTAACGTAATCTTTATTTATGGATTAAAACTATCAAAAAATAAAATAGCTTATATCTTTTTTTTAACATAAAGAAACCTTTAATTTCTGACATACTCCCTTCTATATAGCTTGTTTGTTGATGTGGAGATGGTGAAGGAGAAGGAATTAGTTGTTGATGAGAGGATGAAGGCACGTAAGAGATCTGAGTGCGGTCTTGTGTTGATAGCGTTGGAATAGGAGTTAGTTGTTGAGGAGAGGCTTCATCCTCTCCTTACTTCATACACCCTACTTTATGAACGGCAATAAAACAATTAGTTTAGTAGGCATTCTTGACTTCGCAAGGTCACAGGCTAGGGTGGATATGATGTGAATTTCGATAGATTTTAATTTATTTATTTATTCAAATTTTTTTTATTTTTTGTAAAATACCAGTGCCATAGGCTTCTACTCCGTTCACATGTTTAAAATGTAAAAATTTTGTAATGTAAAAAAGGTCATTCAGTATCACTGTTTCGTTAACGTCCTTCCGCGAAGGCTGCCGGCAGCGACTGCCAAAAGAAATCGGGCCGATGCGGCTACACACACGCAGTACGGAGGGGGCGGGGCCCCGATTTAGGAAGCATCGGCTGCATTTTTGCTCCTGCCAGCCGATTAAGGAGGCGATATCGGCCACGACTTAGGACGGCCCTACATACGGCATGATTTAGAGGCAATCTAGGAGGCATCCCCACTACTCCACCCTAGATCGCCACCGATATCAAGTCGTATGTAGCCCGCTGTATATCACTACGAGCGCCGGAATCCGTGGCATGCCGTTGCCTACCGCAGTATGCCATGGCATCCCGCCACGGGAGCCTGTGGCGCGTCTTTTAATTCCGTGCGATAAAATCCCTTTCAATGCCACGGCATCATTTTAAAGCATAGCAATTCATGTCGTATTTCTGTAACAGTACGGTTGAATGTCAATTAGTAAAAATTAAAATCCCTTGCCATGCCGTCCCGGTCTGCGTGGGCCCTTAGATGCTGTGACGGACTCTTGAAATTGACCATCGCTATCAAATTCGTTTGCAAGACCATCCAATGTTGGGCCAAGTAATATTTCTACTTGCCTATGAAAAGGCCCTGATGGCGGATGATTGGGCCTCCCTCCACCTAAAAATAGCAAAATATAGATTATGAAACAGTGTAAACACTAAAAAGGAGCGTAAGTAGTGACTAGGCATCACTACAATCACTTGTCTGTTCGCAGACTAGGAAACCACTGAATGAATTTTGGTGAGAGTTTACAGTCAAGAATGTAGTTAGGTATTCGAAATAAAGGTAATAAATTATTACTGCGCTAGAATTATTGAAAGTATAACGTGTTATTAAGTTACAAATAGATCATACCTGTTAAGAAAATCTCCTTCTTTGTGGCAGCTTTGTGTTTCCTTATCGTTTATTTGAGGTTATCCCAACACGTTCTAAGTTGGTCCGTATTTCAGACATTGAAACTGCTCAGGGAGTTGAAATCTTCCGTGAGCACCTTCCATCCCTCATTTTTATGAGCAATCGTCACTGCATCCGGTTTTTTTTTCTACGACACTTTTTTTTTCTTTATATTTTACGATAAGTTCTATTAAAATTTTCGTCGACTTTTTTTCGACATTTTAAAACACAAATTAAGTAAAACTTATAATTGAAAGAAATCCACAAAACAAAATGTACAGGCGCGAAGCCGAAAATATATGACGTTCTGGACGACCAATATTACACTTGTCACTTGTTTAATATAAGTGTGATATTAAACAAGTGACAAGTGTAATAGTGGGTAAAGTGTAATACACTGTCTATAGAACATTTTGTATAGGCGCCATGACATTTTGATTTGCCTGCATAACAACGAGAAAAGTGTAAGAGAATAACAAGTCAAACCGGTCCTTTTTGTTCACTCAATCACAGATACTAAATGTTTGATTTATCAACGCCTTGTTAACATCCCCCTATATAACGTAAACCTTTTTGACGTCGACGTCAATTTTAACAGAACATTTGTTAATGGCTAATTAATAATAGTTTGGTGAAATCGGGTCGAAGATTGATTTTTAAAGTATTTTTTTTTAAGTTTCTAATTTGTATTTGTAATAAAACAATAAACTGACTAAGAAATTATTCCCGTTGTTCTACTGCTCTTACGGCCGAGTAGCGTAGTAGTTGGTGATCCTGCCTCATACGCCGGAGGTCCCAGGTATATATATCCATTTGTTTGATGAACGTAGATATTTGTACTCGGGTCATGGTTATAATAGAATAGAATATTATTTATTCAATATAGATAACATGTATGTCTTATTGAAAGTAATTTACCATTGGTTCGAAAAAACCTTTTTTTTACTTTAACACTGGTTCATAAAAAACCTCCGTCCTGGTAAGACCCAGTAAGAAACCCATCGGGACTTTTTTGAAATAAATTTTTCACTGTTTATGGTCACAAAATATTTACAAAATTTTGTGACCATGAACAGTGCAACCACCTCATTCCCAGGGGTTATTATCAACCATGTACTCATCTATATTATAATAAACCTTTTCATAGTTTTTGTTTAGTTAAATATTTAAACTTAGTAGTAGAGAGGGCTTTTATATTTTCTGGGACTTTGTTGTAATAGCGTATACATTGCCCCAAGAATGAATTACTGAGTCGAGAAGCTGTTATCACTAGCTTGTGCTTATTCCTAATGTTCAGAAAGTGTATATCACTTTTTTACTAAAACTACTTTCGTTTTTGTGAACATAAATAAAATTTTCGTAGATATACTGAGATGCTATATAATCTCTCGCGTTTTCTTTTCCTCTTCCTTGAAAGCAACCACACACACTTCAGGCTCTTTGCAGGCTTCAGAATACAGGTCAACGCTGTCCTTCGGTCTGCCCTTATTATCTAAGAGCCGGCCAAAGGCCCACGCCCACTTGCTCCTGTACACCTCTCCTTTGAATTTTGTTTTTTTAGCACCTCCACTTGTCCCCCAGCGCATTGGGTCGTTGCAGAATTCCTTGAAGCGCAAAAAGTTGTTGCGGTTAGAGTCATGACCCCACTGCGTGAATATGGAGTCTATGTATGGTTGCAAAAGTTCAAAATCACCTTGCTGTTCACCTGATACCCACTTATCTATGTCTGCCCACACTGTTTCTTTAGTCCAAGGGCTTTTTGAGCCTAGTGTTTCCATGTGCATGAGAAGCATGTATGCAGGCCCGACTGAGAAAACTTTCGGGAAAGCCCACTTGCTGATTTTGTTTAATGATTGTCTGACGAAGTCATCTCTTACTGTGGAGTTAACAAGCTTACTGTTTTGGGAGAACATTCGCATGAAGTTGTTCTGAATAGTGTGGAATAGACCTAAAAGTGTTCTCGCAATGTATGTTTGCCCGGCCGATCTATATAGCCGGTAGAGTAGGTAGAAGCCTGACCCAAAAGCGGTGTCAGACAGAGGAAAGCCCCCCTTACATTTAACCCGGAACCGAACCAATGTGTCTAGTTTGTCGACGTTAGGCTTGAACGGCCCAATTGCCTTCATGGCACTGAGCAGCTCTATCGACTACTACACGATAGAGGGTCGCTCCCCGATCGAATATGCGGCCAGACATAACGGGGAAGGAGTTGCGCACACCCGTACGCTGGGGGGACTCCCAAGTCCCGGGGCTCGCGTGTGCCTCGGTCGTCAATTCAGGTTGGTGGCCGGTTTTGTGCACGTCAGCCAATGTACGTATATCGCTGGCCATGACGTAGGTCTTGTGTTTTGGCCAAGTTCTGGTGGTTCTTTTTAATGATGGGTCTCCCCCGCCGTGGCCAGGGGTACCATTGGTGTCTTGGTTGCCTCGGGAGCCATGGGTGGTGGGTCGGAGGGTCGGGCCTGGGTAGGGCCGGGCGGTTTTTTGTTTTCCAGCTCCACCACTTGGGACACGCTCTGCTGCCCAGTTCCCGCGTTTGCTACCGCCTTGTATAAAAAAGGCAGGTTGGGCGGATCCGGGTATTCCGTAGGAGACACACCCCAGAAGGTGCGCGAGAATGGGACGTTGGAGATGGAAGGATTGAGCACTAACAGTGAAGCGGCGCCGTCAACGTCTCGATAGTGGTATCTTAAAGATGTGCATGTCACCATAGAGACAAACCCATTCGTTAAAGGCTCCGGGGCCCACGCGTTGGGGGTTTGCACCGCCCAGTCGTCAATAGAGATTGGGATGAAAGATGGAGTCCCCCTGGGGAGTATAGAGAGCAGGCGCGGTATGCGTGAAAAGGTGTTTCCTGTGGAAGTGTACCAGGGCATGGTGTATCTGGTGCTTGGGGTGACTTCTACGTGCATGGTGCAATAATTATCCTTTACATTGCCGTGAACCCCGACAACTTCGGCGTACACCCGAATGTCAAATTTAGCAGCCCATTGTAATACCGCAAATATGGGCATAGGGATACTAAGGGCCCACTGGTTGCGATTGATGTCCAAGCCGTAATACGCCGTGATGTCTTGCCCGACTGTGGACCCCGTGCGTGAAGCACGCTGCATTAGGTGGTGTGCAGATAAGGGTATGACGTAGTTAAGCGTGACAGTACGAAGCTTGTTCTGAGCGGACACCACTCCACTTGTCCCTTCTGAGTACAGTGACGACCACATCCATCTGTCCATGTCATTGTGCGTAAGGTAGAGGGCGACGGATAAAGTGATAGCGGCCGCCTTCAACACGAGCATTGATTGCAATCCACCCACTGTCCTCAATTCCATTTTATAATCGTTCTTTTCGATTAGACCAAGCGCCAGCATCACGCGATACACGGAGTGAGCAGTGTGGCACTGATACTGTGGTCTATCGGCTTCCAGCTCGAAAGACTGCCAATGTGATGAGTACGCAACCACACGGTCATCCTCCACTATTGCACGGTGCTCTACGCGGGCGGTGCTCTGGCTGTACTGGAGGAGGGGGCTCACTGTGGCCCAATTGTACCCACAGACAGATGTGTAGGTTTCTGACCGGTTAGCGATGGGGCCAGCAATCGATGTTAGAAGTGGTGTGCCTCGGGGTGTCGGATGAGTAATTATACTCACCGATCGTCCACGCACCATTTAGGGGGTGTTGGTATCGGTGATTAGGTTCAGGTGCAACCTCCAAAGTGGGGGATTCCGGCAAGCCAGCAGAGAGTTCAGAAGCCAGTGAAAATGCAAGTTGGAAGGCCATGTCAGTGCACATGTTGGCCTCTATCCACTCCAGAGCCCAACACATGCGTTGAGATGATAGCTCGGAGTCATCAAGTAAGTTGTGCAAGAGGGCTGTCATGTCGACAAGGTAATTGGAACTGTCAAATCTCTGAACATAAGGCGACCCTGGGTTCACATTGACCCCGGCGGGACGCAGGATTGGTAGGTGGTTATTGCTCGCGGTGGTGCTCTCGTCCAAAAGAACTAGCATGATGCCTGCTGGTCCGGGTATGCTGACGTTGTGACAGTGCGGAATGCGCGTAAACGATGTTGGGTGAGCACGCCCATCAGCTCCTAGATGGTGTGTCCTGGTTGAGTACGACAGCCGTCCAGCCCATACGCGGGAATCAACAAAACACATGATGTATTCGAGGAGCCAGGTTGCTGTCATTATATCGCTGGTCACCGGGACAACGCACCAGGTATTGTCCATACCTTGGAGTGATCAGCCGGCTGCGGTCAAGTGGGCGTCATGACTTTTTAGGTGATTTGTGAATACGGGCAACGTCACTGCAATCGGATTGACGTTAAATCTGTTAGCGGCGGGTCGGTCGTTGACGTGGAATACGTTTATGGGGGGAGGGTCTCTTGGCGCGTTTCACGACGGAGGAAGTGTTTGGTAGTCCTGTCGAAGTCGTACATGTCAGGACAAGCAGCCATTGCATAACACAGGCCGCGCACCACTGCTGCCGTCTCTATGTGGGAAGCGTTGGAACCACTCATGTATGCTAATATCATCTGCATTGAAGGCAGATCTCGGGCAAGGGGGCTCCGTGATGTGAGCAGCGGCTGTACTGCTGCTTTGTCTGTAGTTGTCGTGAGTGCACTGAGCTGTTCACAAAGTGCAGAGTAAGGAGCAGTTGTTGGAGTGGAAGATTGGAAGCTGACCATGCGAGTTTTTACTGACCTAGCAGATATGTACTTTATTTTGGAACGCTCGGCCGGCTCGGGTGGTCGGTCAGATGCGGTGGTAGTATCAGGGGTGACTATTTCCAAGGATGTGTGTCCTGACAGGTCCACTGATTCCCTACGTGATTCATCGACGTCCGCGGGAGCACCGATGTTTTCAGCGATCTGTCTAGCGTCAGCGGCAGGGTACGCTGCCGATCTAAAATGTGCGGGCCGGGGTAGAGTGCGTAAAATTTCGCCCCTGGATGTCAACCACACAGTGCCGTTGCGCAATCCTGCCAGTTCTTTTGCAGATGCACACACATTGTGGCGTAATACCTGTTCTAGTGCCCCGTCTGCTAGTATGGTTGGAGGCTGGGCAGCTCGGGGAGGCGGCGGGACATTCTGATCAGCATCTGCAGCGACAGCGGGTGGCTCTTGTGCAAAGAAAAAAGTTATAACCCCTGTTGTGAAAATTCCACGACGTGTAATGATGTAGAAATGCGGTGTCTCTGTTAGATATTTGGTCTCCACCGTTGGGGTATTCGCTTAACCCTGAGAGAGTAGTGCCCGTGTATGGTAATGGGGCAGAGAAGATGTTGAGCATTAGAGTCTCGGTCGTGGGGTCTGCGCTGCGCACGTCATGGTGCGAGCGCTGTTGTGTAACAACCCGCCTCCATTAACACTCCTTGCCAATCAACGATTTACAAATAGTACTTAAGGACTTGGAAGCTCTGTTGATACGAGAAGAGAGAATTATGTCTGCAACAGATATTATAATTATGACTATGAGCCCGAGAATTATTATATATGGTAGAGAGAGTTTTCGCCTCTGACACTTCCTACAACCGAGGATCGGCTGGGTCTCCACAGAGACGTTGTCCATTGGACCTGAAGTCTACAGTTCAGTATGTTTTGTAGTCGTATCCGGTTGTTTTGTCAAATTGACCTTTTAAAGAAAAAAGAAAAAGAAGAAGAATAATGGTTTCAATAACACTTTCAAGTGACAATCTTTTGTGGCAACAAAGCGAGAAGGGTCTACCTCCGTAGGTATGTCGACTCGTTTGTTGAAAGAGAAAGAAGAAAGAGAAGAAAGAGCCGTGGTAGCTTAGTGGTTAACGCTTGCTATAAATATAACAGAACGCGAGTAACCCGGGTTCGATCCCCGCCGGCACCAATGAAATTGTTAATTGCAATTTTAAGTGCTGATTTAGCAGGTACTCGGCGGTGAAGGAAAACATCGTGAGGAAACCTGCATGTCTGAGGAATAAGAAAAAAAATATTTCGAAGACATGTGAAGTTCGTCAACACGTATTTGGGCAGCGCGGCGGACACTTCCTTGCCCTAAACCCTCTCAGAATTGAGGGGAGGCCTGAGCCCAGCAGTGGGACGTATATAGGCTGTAACTTTACTTTTTTATACTGGGATGCCAAAGGTTAATTATTTATTTATATTAATGTCGCATCAATCTAGCTGTCTCGACACTAGTGATCTCTAATCTCCCCCCCCCCAGTTTGCTGTATACATACACCATGGGACCATACGGTGTGTTTTATCTGGAAATTTATTTATTTATTTATTATTTACTTCCCCTTAAATTAGCGGCATTAGACGGTTATTAAATATTGACCTGAAATGTTATGTCTGAAATCAGTGTCACTGTTCAGTGTCCCTGTAAAGTTTTGTGTGGTAAGGCTCGTAGCGCGAGAAAACGCGAAGTGGCTCATTGCACCCTTTGCAGTATGTTGTGACACGCTTTCCGCACTCGCAATGGCGACGATAGCGGTTACACTTATTACCTTTCTCCGTCGTTGTGGATAGTGCACGAAATTTTTTGTAGTGTTGTCTGTTCCGCTGTGTGTAATATGGGCCGAAGACGTAGGTTGTGATGTAGTGTGACGCGACAATAACTGAACCACCAAAGTTTTACGAAAACTTCGGTGATACGCTAATTGTTAAGACTTGTGTATTATGTAAGCATTTAAGATACCTTCATTTAATAGCCGTCCGAATAACTTTTTGTACCAAACTTGCGTTCGCTTCTCTTCAAGGGCTAGCATCTAATCTTTACGATCGACACCACCCATGCAAATGTTGTAATCACGGATTACGGTAGGTTTTAATGTATCACCGCACTTCATGGTTGCTAGTCCATGGTATGTCGAAATAAGTGCCACGCGATTTTTATCCCACCATACCACGAGATCCACATCCCCTGAAGTGCAGCCACTCACCTGTCCGACAACCATATTTTGATTAGTAAGTGGCGTTAGTTCGACGAGAACAAACGCAGTCGAACCCACGACACTTTAACTCTTGCGCGAACGCATGGCAGTTGTAAAATTTGTCCATCCATATGCAGTGGCCTTTGTGCTCAGGACCAGTTAACAGTCTGAGCACAATGGATGGAATAACACCAGAAACTGGACTATCATCTTGTGGTATGGAATCTTCGTGTCCTGCGTGGACTTCAAAGCGCCACAAATAGCCAGACTTGGAGTCGCGTACTTCGTATGTTTTAATCCCCACTGCCACTGATTTATTTTTGATAAACTGATTTATATCTAACCAGCCCTTCCACTTCGTGAAGCTCTCATCGATTGCAATATTTTGATAAAGATTATATAATTTGGAGAATTTAAAATTTAATTGTCCTAAAATGGGCTGTATTTTAAAAAGTTTTGCCTGCGCACGGGTCATTAATGCAGGATTGCATGTATCGTTTGTAAAATGAAGACACCTGCTCAACAGTATAAAGCGATCAAAACGCATTGATGTGGTGAATTCTGCAGTATAGAAAATATCTTTATTATAATTCCAATACTTCTCTATACGTGTTTTCACCATAATTCCGGTCGCTTGAACTATAGCAAAAAAAAACACGTATGTTCTCGGTCGTTTAGACGTTCTTTTTGGTAAAAAATAGATTGTACCTGTATATTTTGCAAAATATCTATATATATATATAGTTTAATTCGAAAAGAAACGTTATAAAAAACGCAAATGAAATAAAAAACACTGTTATAAAATAAATCGTCAATATACCTACTATAGAGACAGCGTTGTCTGTCAACAACATATATAACTCACATTACTTTTCTCAATACTTCGCAATGTAGGTGCCCTACAACATACTCTTTTACAAACATATATTTCCTTCTTTACAAGTAATTACTATAGGTTTTACACACAAATTACAACAGTAAGTATCTGAGAGGTAAATAGTAACACATAATAGGCAATATTGTTGCTTTAAACTAATAAATAAAAAAAATCTAACCTTAGATCCGCAAGGTGCTAGTAGTCTCGACGCCATTTTGCGAGTAAATGACATATCAATGACACTTTGTGACGTTCTATATATTTTTTTCGGTAGTGTTTCGTTTTTGCTATGATATAGAAAATTGTAACCATTGAAACAGTTATTTTTTTGTTGAAATATTTTTCTATTTGTTATTCTTCTATATTGTTCACATACAACATTGCGAATTAAAGGGTTAAAAAAAAACAAATACCATAATACCACAGATAAATATCGACAACATAAAAATTTATTACACTTACATCGCCGGTGAAGGGGCCTCCATGTATTCTGACTCAGCAGGCGTCGGTGACTCGACCACTGGGACCACCATTGGCTACAATTTTGTTTGCTTGTCTTTTCAGAAAACTTCCAATGTTATCAACCGGCTCTTTCCCATGGCCAATGGAATGCAATGGGAAAAGCAAAATCAGATCGTATCCATTTTCAAATTACGTCAGGCTGATGATTGATGTAAAAATGTTGCAAAATGAATAACTTTATAACCTATTGCAGAATCACTACTAATATAAACCACAACTGTGTGAAGTGAAACTTGTTTGCTCAATCAAGCAAACAAGTTCTTATGTTCATCCACGGTGCAGTCAATTGATCGCTTAGTTTTTTCACATATTCTCTACGACTTAAAGGTCTCTCGTTCTTTGCTTGCATGTTATGGCAATATATAACATATGAATTAACAAACGTCATATTCAATTTGCCATAAAACATTGTGGTCATTGGCCATCTATTAGTTTTCCGAGAACAGGCCATTGTAGAACACATTTGATAAAGATATTAATACTCGTAGTTACTTTGCAACCATCCGCTAAAGTAAATAAAATGATGTGTCTTCCCTAGTTTGAAGAGCACCTCTCAAAATCGCATGCACTAAACCCGTCACCACTAATCCCAGCACCACTATTCCCAACACCACTATTCTAGGAAAGACACACCATCGACGATAATAAGACATGTGTTTCGTCTCTACACGAGGCATCTTCAGGTGACGTTGACTCTACGGCGGCTGACCGCCATTGTCAACGTTGACTTAGCGAAATCCAAGCAATTGTTCATCGATAGTTATATGCCCTCCTGCCGGGCTAGCATGAGCAGGGGATAAAAAATTTATCCACCGATTATATCCACTGACAAGGGATAAAATTGTCTTATCCCTATGTCAAAGCTTTATCCACCCTGCGAGCATGGGCCTATGATGGATATAATATCGACAGTAGATAAACTTATCCCCGCGCATAGATAATATACGATAGCAAAGATGTTTTATGAAACATCTTTGTACGATAGTATAAAGCTATAAACTATACTATCGTACAAAGAAGTCTGGTATGAATATGTCTGGTATGAAGAGATACTTACCGCACACACACGTTCGAGAGTGCTGGTTGACGAATGAGTTGGCTGAGAAGGATAAATGCGTACGCGCGACGGATAAAGAGAGAAAGCTATATAGCGTTTTTGTGGGCGCCTATGCAACGTGGGTTATTATTCTAGGGTTAATTGTTAAAAGAAGCGAGTTCCATAATTTGATTGCTTTGACACAAAAGGAGGAACGAAAAAAAATTGAGTTGTGAGCAGGCATTCGCAAAATAAGTTTATGAATGGAATGATCTTTATTTGCGCCCGTAAACTCAAATTTTTCTTTGATACCTCGGTAATTTAGAATCAAGTAGTAGTAGTAACATTACAGTAGAGATAGAATGTGAAGTTATAGATATGTTAGTAATAATTAGGTACAGACACAAATAATATCGTCACCTTAGAGTGTAAACCTGCTAACTCACTTGAAGTAAATTTTACAGGACAGACAAAAAACTTAAAATATTTTATAATTGCTGCTTAGGAAACAAAACAAAAATAAAGTTAATTTATTTTATAATATTTTATTGTAAAAACTAAACCTACTCCTTTATATGCGATTTTGTGACTTATCAGGTTTCTGTATGTGTTCTGAATATATTGTGATGGACTTAGCAGGGTTTTCGTGTAATAAAAAATAAATATAGTTGGTGTAATTAAGAAATGCACTTCAAATTCAAATAAACTTCAATAAAACAAAACAATCATCTAAGTAATATTGCAACTCAAAAAAAAACTATTTAACAATTCAATACT